TCGCATAGATCCCGACAGCGAATTAGTAAACGAAGACACACACAAAAAAATAGAAACAAAAACCTTGCACACTCACAGTTTTCGCACTTGCACATTAAAAAAAAAAAACAACAAAAATAACTAGCCAGAAAAACGCGCGCACTGATCCGGGCTGCACACATACATACATACACACTTGCAAAAACACGGCAGCCAACACGGATTTTGATTTCGGGCTGTTGCAGCCTTGCCCCCACTTCACTAACACTTCCCTGCCATAGATCGACAGTTTTCCGAACTTTTCGCACTTGTCACAGGTTTTTCCGCGGTGGTTTTCCCTTTGATTTTCCCTTTAATCGAGGAGACGATCTGCAAAGCGACCCTTTTCGTTTTCCTTTTCTTTTCGATAATTTTGTTCTCCGTTCTTCCCGGCGATGAGAGCTGACTTCCGAAAGCCGCCGGGAGAGGTCGCTTCGCGATAATGGAAGATGGCAATTGTTTGGGCTTGTTGGCGAGAGAGGGCGTAAGGGAATGTCATAAATAACAGCTGGACAATGCAATTGGAATCTGGGGGCGGGCGAAAGCTTTTCTATCTCATTTTTCTAATTGGGTAAATTAAAATAAAATTAATAACAAGAAAGGAGGCTAATTTCAATGGGTATTTTTATATGCTATTTTTATGGGTAATTCAAGTTTTTCAAATACCATAACTAAGCCAAAAATGCATTAATTTTAATTCGGACAGCGGTTCTGTGCTAGTTTTTATCAGGTTAACAAATCTGCATATAGAGTTTTTAAATTTTAAGTATTTGATTTTTGGCCAAATTGGGGCAGTTTTTATAATACAATTTTAAGCAAAAAAAATTGGAAAAAAAATCGAAAATTTATTTTTCCACCGGACATGGATCAATCGACTTGGCTGTTGATGCTGATCAAGAATATATATGATTTATGGGGTCGGAAATGATTCCTTCACAGAGTTTCAAGCTTCTGAATGAAATTATAGTACCCAATATTATATAGTCGTCTGATCCGGCCTCTTTAACCTTTACAAATCCAATTGTTGGTAAACCAGTCAAGTTAAGTTATTTTTATAAATATATAAATGCTAACAAAACATTTGATTTAAGTGCAAACAATATTATTTGCTGGCAAAGCCAAAAATCAAATAAATCAAAAAGAGCAGAGAGGGAAAAACCCACTGATCGATTTTTAATCGATTTAATTTCTTGCCTTTGCTTCGTGACAAAATATATATATGTATATATATAGGAGGAGAATCGAATTTGGATTAGCTCTGCGGTTGATCCGACCAACAACTATTGATGATCATTTGACGGATGAAGGCGATCGACTAAATATAAATTGAACGTTCGTGTTTGGCACATTTGTGCGAGAAATCGCATCAATTGTTTTAATTGTCTGCTATATATGCTATATATATGTATATATATATATATATATAGCGATCTATAGCTCTATGTATATAGCAATCTCCGAAACGAAATCTAAGGCAATGGCAGTATGAGGATTATGCAATCATTGCTCCGAGCAAGTGGAAATCGGAATCTAAATCTATTCTCAAACGGAGGGAGGAGGAGGAGGCTACTATTGTTTATATATTTACATGAGAGTAGCATGCAAATATTTAGCTTTTTGTTATTTTTCAACAAATATCTCAAAGCCGAATTAAAAACTGCAATTAAACAACCATTTTGCAGTCGTTACGGGAGATGACACATTTAACAATGACAAATTGCAGGGCTAAGATATACCAAACTATACTATATAACCAAGTTAATAAGACCACAACTCTGTTTTCCATTTCTGAACAATCTGCATTTAAAATTTCTTACAAAAAGACTAGCCTAATTCAGGTTTTTTAAGTTGTAAAAGAATATATTTATATATCAAATAATTACAATCAGTAAAAGTCGGAAGAAGTCATATCCCATTCATCGGATATTTTCATATATATCTCGACCACGTACTCACTGATTTTTCCAGACTCCAACTGAGACAGCATATGGTCGCTTGGAATACCAAGTGATTCATGGATTTTGTGTAATAATCGCAATAAATTTCGTTGTTGGAATTAACCAAATATGGCGATATCCGAAAATCGAGTTCCCCCAAAAACTGACCAATAATCTGTCGATGATTCACAGTCGAGGAGGCGTCATCGTTGACATTTCTTAAGAGAAGCCTCGTCGTCGTCGTCGTCACTAAGATATATTTATTTATTTTGCAATTTTGGCGTCACCCACCTGTTGTTCTTTATGTTTTTATTTACGATCGCAGACATAAATAGGCATTCATTTATGCCTATAAAATGGTTTTTACTGATTTTACCCATCATCAAAGCAAAAGAAAAGATATTTACGGAGTTTCAAAGGGAGTTATCTATTTTATTTGATTTTAAAATATTAAGAAATATATATTCATAGTAAATCATAGTCTTTAATAACATTTTAAATACCAGTAAATATTTTTAAATACATTTTTAAGAACCTATTTCATATTATATCCTTAGAGGTTTATAAAAGTTACAGTAAATATTTTTAAATCCATTTTTAAGAACCTATTTCATATTATATCTTCAGAGGTTTATAAAAGTTACTTGATTTAGGTATCCAAGTTTGTTCTATAAATATATATCAATTATATTTTAAGTATTAATGGTGGATGGTGAATATTTTTGCTAGCTTTAAATAATTCTTTTGAAACATAAAGTAAGCTCTTTTCAGGTGCTAATATTTACTGCCCTGCGCCAAGCCAAGAAGTGTAAACAAATTCTACATGTTTGGCCGTCCAAATGTCGTCATTCCCTGGCATATCGCGTATATAGTTTATAAAGATTATATAGTATAAAAATAAGCATAGAGCGACGACAACGACGTGGTGACGTGATAGTTGGCATCGACTGAGGGAATTTCGCTGCCCAAACCCCATGACATAATTACCCAAAACGGAGCAATATATGATATGTGCGCCTCCATATGGACAGCCTCGTATCATAAGCCAACAGAAAAATACAAAATATAATAATAATAAAATGTCAACGTAAAGGGGTTCCTGTTTCAGCACGCAGAAAAAAGATACAATTTGCTGGAGAATTATTTATTCGAAAAATCCAAGTCTAAAAAACTCATAACTAAACCAAAAAAGCATTAATTTCAACTCGGAAAACAGTCCTATGTTAGTTTTTATTAGGCTAAAAAATCTGCATAGCCAATACAAAATGTTAAAAATTTGAAATTTTTATAAATTTTAACGAGGTAACCCCTTATAAAATAATGAAAAGTTGTAAAAAATTAAACTTTCGTGGGACATACCTAGATCGACTGGGATTTTTGTGATGATCAAGAATATATATGATCTATGGGGTCGGAAATGACTCCTTCGCGAGTTAGAAGCTTCTGACTAAAGGTCTAATACCATTTTTTAGGCTAATATTTACCAATAATTTTTAATGACAATTTTAATGACAAATCAAATCTTAAATAATTCATAACTCAGTCAAAAAAGCACTAATTTTAATTCGGAAAGCAGTCCTATGTTAGTTTTTACAAGACTAACAAATCTGCATACTCAATAAAAAATGTTAAAAATTTGGCATTTTTATCAATTTTAACGATGTTAAAACCCCTTATAAAATTATGAAAAATTGTAAAAAATTAAATTTTTGCGGGACATACCTAGATCGACTGGGATTTTTGTGCTGATCAAGAATATATATGATCTATGGGGTCGGAAATGACTCCTTCGCGAGTTAGAAGCTTCTGACTAAAGGTCAAATACCATTTTTTGGGCTAATATTTATCAATAATTTTCTTTGATTATTTTCTATAAATCAAATTTTAAATAATTCATAATAATACATTTAATGTATTTTATTTTAAATATTTGATGTCTTTTGTATATATTTTATTTCGCTTTCTTTTCTCTTGCTTTATAATAAATATTTTTCGCATCATATTAATCATGTCCCGCTTGTGATATAATTTTTCCTTGTGTAAATGATTTTCCCCCACAACTATGAAAATGTTTGCCTCTGCAAATGATTTTCCCGAACCCCCTCCCCGACCCCCGCAGTGCAATAAATTATGACGCTAATCGAATTGCAATCGAGCATGGAATTGATCTAATCACAATTACCCATATGGTCGGTCTGTAATATGTTTCTGTTCCGTAATGCCGTAATGCCTGAGTGAGTAAATATAAAAAACAAAATATTATATTTATTTATTTGTACGTTAACTATTTGTATATAATTATGGAAATTAAATGTATCAGTGTAAAGCTGAATTAGTTGGAAAGATTTGTGGACAGATTTGTTGTTTATATTTTTCAAATTATCAAAATAAAGCCTAGCAAAAGAAAGAACAATTCTTGCTGAATTTATTATACAATTTAGTTGCTTAAGTTATTAGTTTTTTCTACAAATATTTGTATATTGTAACTTTGCTTTATTAATATCAAATATCTCTCCGACAGCAAGGTATATAAATTTGACTGCTTATTTATCGCATTTTTTCACTCGGCCCATGTTTGGGCCATAACTCAGGTTTTTCCTACTGCAGGGGGGTAGGTGGGGGGAGTGGGTTTTCCACCCAATATCGTAATTCTTTGCGCCCCGCCAGCTGTCCGGAGATCAGGTCTTGGGAACTATGTGAAAAATGCAGCCGCCGCCTTGGGATTTGGAATTTCTTTATCTCTTTTTTTGTTTTATTTTTCTGAATGCATCGTGAATCATCTGTTGGGTCGCACTTTCGCCGGTTAAAAAATGGGAAATTTGAAAGAAAGAAAACCAGTTTTCCCCCGCCATCATTTGCTGCTTCGTTCCAGTTCTTTGAAAGCGAAAGTAAGCTGATCTCAAAGGTTTTTAATGATTATTTCATTTAGGAATCTATATAAATTTATATATTTTGATTTTGTTTTGAAATCCAAGTGGGCCTTGGACATAAAATCTTAACATGTGTAGGAAACCGAATACAGTTTCGTCAGTTAATATCGTGTACCCGAAGTGAAAACATCTAATTCCGAAAATTTTAATCCTTCTTTGTTTTTTGTTTTTTGTAGTAAATTTTCTTCCCATTTTTTGTTAAAAATGCATTTTTACATTTCGAAATTTTTGTCCCTGGTATGTTTTTCATTCCTGTATGTGATATTACTCGTAGCGCGTTTCGTCTCGGATTGGCGTAAGGTGCCGCGCCCGGTACCGGTACTTGTACCGGTACCCGAACCGGTACCCGTACCCATGGAGGTCCAACCGGAACCGGAACCGGAAACGGATCGTCTTGAGGATGATGATGGACGCGATGAGGCCAATTCTCCTGGACGCAATTCTCCTCCGGCCCCACGTGCTCGTCGTCCAATTGGAGGTCGCAATAGGGCACAGGCCAGGGAAGATGCTGAGCAGTAAAATTAGCAGGATTTAGCAATCCTGCCTCGTTATTGTTTATTGTTTTTTTGTTCCATATGCTTGAAAGCGAAATTGCAGCCAATGGGTAAGCATAATCATTAACTAATCTATACACCATACATATATCCTTGCTTATTTCTTCGTATTAACTTCCTAATTTCCACCTGACTTTTATGGCAGTGAAATGCGAATACACTGGAAACAAAAATAACAAGATTTAAGCTACATGATCACATCAGCAGATCCATCCAACGAACGCTTAATTCAAGTTGAAGGCTTCGGCTTCGGCTGCGGCTACGACTTTGACTGCGTCTCCGGCTAAACAAACGCACCTTGGCTGCCAATTTCGCTGTTTAATTTTTGGTTTTTCGTTCGTGTTTTATCAAGTTTTTGTTGTCTCTGGTGTGCGTATTTACCTACCTTGCACAGCGAGCAGCTTTTCGACACCCACAGTGCCGGTGGCGGTGGAGGAGCAGGAGGAGTACACACGTGGGTCGACGCCGCCGCTGCTGCTGCTCTTGGTGAAAGTTCAAGGCCGGCGCAAAGAAGCTCAAGCCCCGCGGGCTTTTACCTCGCCATCCATCTGGCGTAAATTGTAAATTTTATGTGTTCAATTGTTGCCCCGAGCTGGTGATCACTGATCAGTGACTTTGCCTTCTAAGGAGGCAACCTATCCTACGCCAGGTGGAAGCAGGATGTGAGGCCACCTTGAAGACGTTAGTTAATAAGGAATTGCCGTAGATGGAGTCACGTTTATCTAAAGGCACATTTATATGTTTTCATGTGTATAACTTTTTAAGGGGACATAGAATACAAGAAAAAGTGTGCGGTATATAATTGTAGTTTTACTTTTAATACCATACCATCTGGCTAAAAGATTTATTAATTACGAATTTAAATTCAAATTCAAATACTTAACGGCATTTGCCAGCTGTCTTTGGCTCTCACTAGTGGTGAATATCAAGTGATAGGTAGAAAAAATCGAGTATTTCCAGATGCACATACATTTAAAAAGACTATCGATAGGTATTTTAATAAAATCGAATTATATTTGTTTCTATATATTTCTGATGTAGTTTTACAAGTTCAACAAGTATGTCATTAAGTTTTTTCAACATTTACATTAATAAAAACAAAGAGATAAATATATTTCCATTCATTGCCAAGTATCGATAGCCCCAGCCCTATCGATAGGCTTGCGCCTGGAAGCGAAAGCTTTTGCGCGCGAAAGCTTGCTGTTCCGCTGGTAGAGCTTTTTTCCATATTGATTAGTTATGTCGCTTTTGTTGTTTACTCGCCACATTTTTGCCAGTTAATTGTGCCTAGGCGGTGCGCGGGACATAGGGTAACCTAAGACAGCAACAAAAGCCGCAACAGCAGGAACTCGAGCAGGAGCAGCTGCTCCCGATCTCCCCCAAGGAAGATACTGAAACGTTATCGAAACGAAATCAGGTCGCAGCAGGAATCGTCGTCGTCGTCGTCGTAGGGAGCGAGCGAGCGCACAAAATATACACCGATGTCCGCGGGTGTGGGTGGCGGAGGGAGCATTACCACCGAGCACCACAGTCGCCTCTACTTCCTCAACTCGCCGACGGGCCGCGATCCGTTCTTCATTAAGCCGGAATATCTCAGCTATGAGAGTCCCATGCACCATGCCCTCTATCCGGGCAATCGTGGCCTCATAGATTATAATAACTACACGAGCTCAGCGGCCGCCGCCGCTGCCGTTGCCTCCGCCTCTGCCTCAGCCACCGCCTCCTCCGTCGTCTCAGCCTCATCGGTAACCGTAGCGGGTGCTGCTGGTGGGGACTCGGCCGTATCCGCTGCCAACAGCAGCAGCAGCGCCACAGTTAGCTCCAGCACAGCAGCAGGAGGAACAGGAGCATCAGCAGCAGCGGCGGCGGCATTGGGCCTGGAGAACGGCTTCCCCCAGCAGCAGCAGCTTCAGGGAGGGAATCCCCACCAGCAGCAGCAGCATCAGGAAGTCTCCCAGCAGCAGCATCCCCTGCACCATCATCTATCCACCGGTGTTGTCGTGGTCGGCACCGGAGGTGGCATCAACGACGTTGTCGGCGGTGGAGGTGTTGTTCCCGGCCTTGCAAACCTTGGCGTCCCACATCTCGGCCAGCAAATCTCGCTGGGCCAATCGTCGCGAGCGCAAAAGGCAGCCCGGCGGCGGAGCAACGAATCGATTGAGGCACGCGAAAGGCGTTTGGAGAGGAACGCGGCCCGAATGCGTGACAAGCGATCAAAGGAATCGGAGGCGGAATACCGCATCCGGCTGGCCAAGAATGCGGAGGCGAACCGTGTGCGCAGGCAGAACGAAACGGAAGTACAAAGAACCCTAAGACTGATGAAGAATGCCGCACGGCAGCGGCTGCGCCGCGCCTCTGAGACGGTTGAGGAGCGCAAGAAGCGTCTGGCCAAGGCCGCGGAAAGGATGCGGGTGGCGCGAGCCAGTGCGCCCAAGGTCATCAAGCCTCCGCTGGCCGACAGGCTCAAGGGCTACTGAACAGGAGATCACAGAGGAGCAGGCTTAGGCCGCAGCAAGGAGGAGAAGGAGGTAAAGCCATTTGTGGAGCTGGCTCCAGCACCGGAGAGGAGAGCAGAGGAGCCTTAGTATTGGCTTTGGAACACACACACATCTATAAATAATATATATTGTATACAATCCAGTCAGAAGCAGAACGAGCTGCGGGACGTGAAGAACCAGTAACCGGAAACAGAACCAGGAGCAAGGAGCAAGTAGGAGGTTCGATGGGGCAGCAGCAGGCGCCTTTCTAGGATTAGGGCCTGGGCAATTTTTTTTTTTAAGTTAACATTTAAACAGGATAAAGATGAAGAAGCAAACGTAACGTAAAGCATAAAGTAAAGTAAAGTATTTTTATAATGCATGCATTATATTCGTACGATATATAAATATATACATACTTATATATATAGATATATATATATATATAGTTATGTATACACACACACACCTAGAATAGTCATAGCACACACGACACACACACACACACACATACACACAAGAACCCCCAAAAAGGCGGAACTTCCCCCAGAGGAGGAGGAGCAGCGCTTACAGGGTGCCTCTGCCTCTCAGTTCAACAAGGTGCCTTGCTGAGCAACAGGGTGCTTCACTGTCTAACAGGATGTATAAAAAGGAGTCACTGCTGATGTCGCCGAGGGAAAGGAACAGTTTCCAGGCAACAAGTGAGCCAAGCTGGACGCCACTCCATCAAAATCTCGAGCTACGAGGCACCCTAATGTAGGAATCAGTGGAATCAACCCCCATATGTGTGTGCATGTAACCCAAAACGGACATGGGCACTAACATAAGGACTGGCATACACACCCGGCGGCGGCACACACACACACTCATAGCAATCATCACATATGAGGCATACACACACACCACACACGACGGCCCGAGCATGGGCCTTCGTTGCCAGGCACATGACGCAGCACGCAATCCTTAGTCCTGCCACCCTCCGCCCCCCTCCACACCCACATCCACACCCACGCCCACGCCCACTCGGGGCTCACATGATAAATATATTATTCTAATTAATATTAATTAATAAACATGTAAGTTCTAGTCGAAATTTAAAATTGTTTTCTCATTTTTTTCCTTGTTGATTTATCTTCCGTCGAAAAAAATACAATACACAATACGTTTATCAATTGTTTTCGCCTTAAACTTAAGATTGAAATACATTTTTATGTATGGTAATATTCAATGTACACTAACAATAACAAGATTATAACAAAAACAAAACACACGGACACCAACAAGACGAAAAAACAACAACAAACAACTGAAAACATAACAAGTGAAAAAAATGAATATACTTGAATAAAGTTGCATTCACAATTTTTAAATAGTTTTTTTGCTTTTTAAATGGGTTTCAGATCAAGGAATTATGGGAGAAATGTATATTTAGCAATAGCAGTCATATATATTTCATATAAATTTAATTTCACTTGAAAACTTATTGGTTTTAGAAAGATGCAACAATTTTATTCAGTTCCCGGTAACTTTTTAAATTCGAATTGGACAATCGATATGCTACGTATACAATTTCGACTAATCGTTCAAAAAAATCGAATCTCTAAATAGCGATACATCGACAACACATATCGAATGGCCATATCGATAGCGATCTGATGTATTGCCAGCACTACCATGAAATCGTCCATTTTGTCAAAACTCCCAGCGGCATCCAGACGTAAGTTCCGTGAAAAATCAAAAATTGACACAAAACTCTGTGGTTACTTGGACAAAACCCATTGAAATACTCCTCGACATACAGCGATGACATACCACAATAACCCATGCCAGAGAGATCCCTCCCGTGGAGTGCAAACTTCTTTGAATTTGCTTTCGGCGGATGTGCACGTGGTTTGGGGTTATGTCGAGACTGCAGCTGAAAGTGTGCTAACACGAGTTCTTGTTAATCCTCAACAGGTTCCGTAACTCTGTCCACGTTAACATGTCGGGAGGCTTAGATATTCTGTCCCTCAAAGAGGACGACATCACCAAGATGTTGGTGGCCACCACCCATTTGGGTTCGGAGAACGTCAACTTCCAGATGGAGCAGTATGTGTACAAGCGCCGCGCCGACGGTGTCAACATCATCAACCTGGGCAAGACCTGGGAGAAGCTGCAGCTGGCTGCCCGCGCCATCGTGGCCATCGATAACGCCTCGGATGTGAGTATTTGCTTCCATACATACATATATATATATATATATATATGTACCCACCTTGTGTGTCGCGTGGCTTAACATGATGAATTTTTTACTAATCTTTCGGGTATGAAATGCAATGATTTCAATTTTACCGCTGACCAGCCACGCTTCACAGGCGCCGAACCCTTCCGTTCGTGTGTACTTTGTTCGAAATCCCTACTAATGTTTCTTGTCTTCTGTTCCCGCTGTAGGTCTTCGTCATCTCGTCGCGTCCCATTGGCCAGCGCGCCGTGCTGAAGTTCGCCAAGTATACGGATACCACTCCCATTGCTGGCCGCTTCACTCCCGGTGCCTTCACCAATCAGATTCAGCCCGCTTTCCGCGAGCCCCGTCTGCTGGTTGTGACCGATCCCAACACCGACCATCAGCCCATCATGGAGGCCTCGTATGTGAACATCCCGGTGATTGCCTTCACCAACACGGATTCGCCTCTGCGCTACATCGATATTGCCATTCCGTGCAACAACAAGTCGGCCCATTCCATCGGCCTGATGTGGTGGCTGTTGGCCCGCGAAGTTCTCCGCCTGCGCGGCACCATCTCTCGCAGCGTCGAGTGGCCCGTGGTTGTCGATCTGTTCTTCTACCGCGATCCCGAGGAGGCTGAGAAGGAGGAGGCCGCCGCCAAGGAGCTGCTGCCGCCACCCAAGATTGAGGAGGCCGTCGATCATCCGGTCGAGGAGACCACCAACTGGGCCGATGAGGTTGGCGCCGCTGAGACCGTTGGAGGAGTCGAGGACTGGAACGAGGACACCGTCAAGACCTCCTGGGGTAGCGATGGCCAGTTCTAAGGAAGCTACCTGTACACACTTGCTCTTGTCGAGCGCAAACGACGCCAACGCCTACTCTGTCGGGGCATAAATAAACATTTCTTATGTTTTCCATCTAAAATCAATGTTTTTATTCTTTTAAGTCTTATTTTGGACCTTGATTCGTGCTTTAAACAGGGAAATCCTATCTGAGGGGGTTACTAGGTTAACAAATCGGCCTAAGAATGTGGAAATTAATTTTTTTTGTAGATAATTTAAAAATTTGAAAAATTAAGACATTTTACTAGATTTATTTCAGGATATTGATATTGCTTAATTAAGATTTTAATGAGAAATCGAAATATATATATGACCTATAACAATAATTAACTTGTTGGTCTTGATATACCGCCACTAAGGCCAAAAATATATGGATTATAGGAATTTTAAAAATATTTATAATAATTTAGAGCAAATCTAAGGTTTTCAAAATGTCATAACTTACCCAAAAATGGATCAATTTTAATTCTGAAAGCTGTTCTGTGCTATTTTTTAGTACGTTAACAAATCAGCATACTCAATTTAATAATATTAAAAATTTTCATCAATTTTTGACAATTTTAACGATGTAACCCCTTATAAAATTTTGAACAAAATTCCGAAAAATTTTTTTCTTCCAAAGGTTGCTAGATCGATTCAGATTTTAATGCTGATCAAGAATATATATGCTTTATGGGGTCGGAAATGACTCCTTCGCAAGTTAGAAGCTTCTGACTAAAGGTCAAATGCCATTTTTTGAGTCAATATTTATCAATAATTTTCAATGACAATTTTTTAGACAAATCAAAACTTAAATAATTCATAACTCAGCCAAAAAAGCACTAATTTTAATTCAGAAAGCAGTCCTATGTTAGTTTTTACAAGATTAACAAATCTGCTTACTCAATATAAAATGAAGAAAAATTTTTATTTTTATCAATTTTTTTTTTTACATTTTTACGATGTAACCCCTTATAAAATTGTGGAAAAATTTGAAAAAATTAAATTTTTGTCGGACATGGCTAGATTGACTCGGATTTTGGTGCTGATCAAGAATATATATGATTTATAGGGTCGGAAATGACTCATTTATGAGTTACAAGCTTCTGACTAAAATTATAATATCAAATTTCTTATTTCCAATTTTGATAGATTTTCATAAAATCAAAATAACTATATATAATAAAGGAATATGTAAATAATAATAACATGTTAAATTACATATTATTTTCACATTAGTATAACTCCAAGTTGAACTAGAGCGAGATAGAATCCCCAGAGACAGAGAGAAATAAATGGAGAATCGCCCAAAGAGAGCGAGAGAGGTGTTAAATTTTACAATTATTAATTTATTGTTTTTGTTTCAGTTTTTGTTGTTTTTTTTTTTTTTTTGTACAAATAGAAAACAGTTTTTATTTTATTTTTAAATGATTTAGCAATTGGCAAATTGCTCGTATCTTTTATACATATCTCCTCTCCGTTTTATAGTTACGATTTTAGTTTAGGTTGTAAACGACAGAAAAAAAAAGGGAGAAACATGTAGGGTATTTCCTATACGACTGAATCACTAAATTTCTGAATATATCGGCTATATATTTAGTCGGATCGGTCACTAATATTTCTAACAAATCCCTTTTGCAAGCCATGGAAATAGCTTTTGTATTCCTCTCAATAATCCTTAAACATTTTAAACTGTTGTGCAGCCACACACCGGCTCTTCCGTAATTTTGTCTATATTTTTAGCGATACATTGAAAAATTCAGTCATTAAATTTGTACAGGGAATACCACAGGAAACAGAAAACAAATACAGGTAATGTTAAAAGTTAGAGACAAAAAATAAAGGATGCTTTGTTAATTAATCATTGTACAACTATGCAACGCTTTCACATCATTCTAATTTTGGACAAAAGTAATAAGTAATAATATGTGTATGTATATATATATAAAGAATTTTGGGGTTGACCATCTCTCGAGCACTACTTGAATGGATTCGGACGCGCCTTGAAGACCGTCATCTTGCGTATCTCCTTGATCTCCTCCTCCTCGCATCGTTTACGTTGTTCTTCTTGCTGCAACAGAGAAAGAGGAAGGAATATAAGTCTCGGTTTGAGCAATATAAGTACCTATTGGATATTAATTAGTGACATGTGTTTGTTCTCAGAGTCTGACTGGACTGTAGGCCTGACTCATCCCCCCGTTCCCTCTTCGATCACGGCCTATCTCTGGGCTCGGCTGAATCACAGCGCGAGTTTAAAGGCGATAAGTAGAAGCCCCTTTGGAATATCTCCTGCTACGGCCCTGCCCGTTTGTTTGCCAGCGGAAAATAGAGCAGAAGCTGAGGCAGGCAGCCGCCGCAGCTGATAAGATTATCGCGCAAATGCCATTCCGACAAAGAAGAGTTGGAGATGAGAAAGAAACAAATAAATAAAAAAAAAAACCCGAGAAACTGAAAACGAAAACCAGACAAAGCAAGGTCGCACTTGCCTGGCCAAGGCCTTTAAAGGGGATAAAGGATATTCGGTCACGCTCATTACCATTCATATCAATTCAGCCCGCTCAGCAGAGACTCGAGGGCGTGGTGACAGCGGGCGAGCTCTGGACGCACTGATCCAGCGATGAACTCACAGTCGGCACACTGGTGGTGGAGTAGGGCGAGGCAAGCGCCGTTGAGGAGTCATCGGCCGCGGAAAGCACACTATTGTCGCCATAGAATCGTGGCTCGTCATGCGACTCGCCGCCGGGTGAGGCGGTCTCCTCATCGGAGTCCTCATCGTTGGAACTATCCCCAGTAGTCGTCGTCGTTGTGTTGAGCTTGTTATCGCCAGCGCCAGCGCCGGTAGAGGCACCAACACCACCGCTGCCAGCAGCCGAGCTGGGCGGCACATGTGTCAGGCGCTCGTAGCAGGCATCACAGACGCGCAACGCCTTGGTGCTCTGCTGGGGCAGTAAGAACTTCTTGGCCGAGCAGCCGGCACAGACAACGGCTCCGCAGTTGCGACAATGATGCCGACGCTGGATAAAGGTGAACTGGGTCTTCTTGCAGTGCATACAGATGCTGGCATCGGTGTCGGGTACCCAGACAGCGGCGTGATTCTCCACCGGCTTCTTGCCGCTCTTGCGCAATAGATCCTCCACACACTTGTTGATATGGGCCATCCATTCCTGCTTCTCGGTACTGGTGGCGGCATAGACCACAAACGATTTGGTGGTGGTGCGTATGTACCAGCCGTTGCGGTACTGCTGATTATCGGCTATCGACTCCAGCGATACCTCCTCCAGCGGCATAATGTGCTGCTTGTTGTACTTCTTCTTGCCAATCACAATGTTGCCATAGACGAGAATGTCGTTGAAGAGAAAGAACTGACGGGATTTGGGTCGTTTGCGGCACATCTTGGTTAGAACGCCCTCGCCGACGAGGACGCGACCCTGCATGGCCAGTGGGACGCCGGAGCTGCCGAAGCAGTTCTCCACGGACGCAATGCGTCGCGTGTTGGCCTCGGAATTGACCAAACGGTCAACCATGGTTGTGTTTGCTACGCTTTGCGTTCGAGTTGTGGCGAAAGTTTTCTACTGTTGCTGCTCCCCTGCTGCCTTGCCTTCCGCCGCTCTCAAAAAATGGCTTCAAAGTCGGAAATACGAAAACCAAATTCCGAAATTTAGCCAACTGTGACGACAGGCAGAGCTCTGTGGTGTGGTGTGGTGTGTGAGTGTGCGTGCGTGCGCTGTGACTGTGACAGCGCGGGCGTCTCTGTGTGTGACACTCGCTGCTATCGAATGATGTGTGTGTGCGTGTGTCTGTGTGTTTGTAAGGGCAATATAATGGGGCGCAGCTGTTGCAAATCCTGTGTAGCGCCTTGCTCCTGCTTCCGCTGCTACTGCTGCTGCTGGCGGGTCGTCCTGGTCCAGTGCACTGGCCGCTGCTTGTCCGGTGGCTGCTCCCGCTTTATGCAATGCACGACTATTAACTGGCTTTTTCTACGCCGTCCAAAAACGTCATGACTCACTCACACCACTAACAACAAAAACAAACTTGACTGCGACACTCGCTCGGCGCTCTTCACTCTTTTGCTCTCGCTCGCTCTCTCTCTTTCACATTGTCCCGTGTTTCGCTCGCGTCGTCGCCTTCTTCTTCTTGTTGCTGTTGTTGTTTTTCCCTTGCAGCCGTCGAAATGTCTTTGGTGTTTGTTTTCTTTTTTTGTGTGTTGCTATTTATGTTATGGATTTCGAGACGCGGTATGAATGGAGTTGGAGCGAAGTTCGAGTTGAACTTGAGTTTTCGAATTTGTACAATTATTCCGAGGCACTCTCCTAGCTGGAGCTCTAAATAGTGTGACCCTTGGCCCGGTCCAAAGAAAATCGCACTGTGGCTGATGGGCTGCTATCGCATTATCGATAACCTCACTCGATATGAACACTTATCGCCTGAGGTTAATTTTAAATAATAAACTATGTTATTCTTTTCTAATCGAAATGTATTAATCTATGCGCAGATATTCCCCCTAAGGCTCAGGGGCTCCAGAGCACAGCACCCATTGTTAGTTATTTACGTACATAGTGTAATCTTTTTCATGCAGTTAGTCTTCATTTATTTACCTCCTTCTTCTTTTGTACTTGCCTCTCCTGGACGGCAGAGTCAAAATCACGGCGATCGCGCACGCGCTGGTCGCTGTGTAGGTTAAATGTCTTGTGGCGTGTTTGCGGATGCACTGGCTCCAGGCTCGGCTGCCGCTGCTCCTCCTTGTCCTGACGGCGCCGCTCCACGCACGACTTCCAGTACTTGATCGTTTGGGGCGTCCGTGGTACGGTGATTCTATGCACGACCACCATGTCGTCAATGCGCTTGTGCATGGCCTTAAAATTTGGCATGGGTCGGCTGTGGAATTGGCGCGCCTGACGATCCTCCTCCTCTTGCCGGCGGCGCGCCTGCTGACGATTGCACTCGTACAGGTCCTTGAAAGCGTATGCCTTCGGGACAGGAGCAGAAGCAGCGGCGGTTCCGGCCACGACTCCTTCATGCTCGTGACGAATGGGGCTCCATTGCATGCGCAGATTACCGCGGGTTACTCTGGCAGCATCAGCCTCGGGCATGTTCTCAATATCGTCATACATCGCTCCCTTCGTCTCGTTCTCGTCCTTTATGAATATTAGCTTTTTCTGCTCCAGCTGTGCGGAACTTCCTGATGGTGGTGTTGGCTCGGTTTCCGTCCCTGGGCTCTCCTTTGGTGGTAGATTGGATGTGTCTTCTGCGAGCTTCAACTTACTCATTGCCTCCTGGGCAACTTTCGTCTGGATCTCGTCCTTTATGATCTTTTCCTCTAGTGGCTCCTTCTCCGGCTTGAATTTGGCTAATGTGGGGGTGGCACAGTTGCTGAAGATGAGCTGCTGGTGGTGATCATTGTTTAAATTGCGGTTGTTTTCCTTGTTGGCTGGGAATTGCGGTAAATGGAAACAGGGGAAAAAAGCGGGAAGGTGGCGCGTCTTTATTAGTTGGTCTGTGTAGGGAGGGCAGAAGCGGAGAATACTCACCGAAGAAATTCTGAGAGTGATCCAGCTTGTAGTCTCCCACGCTGATGGCACTCCAGTCGAACTCTGGCTTCTCAAATGTTTCGTCCAAGTTGGCCATGTTTTAGAATAATAACAAAAAAAAATGTTACGAACGACGCGAATTTCAAACTACAGACGCACGATCAGTTTCAGTGTGACCGCAGACCGTATAACGCTTAAATGTTACAATCTCTGGCGTTAGTGCAGCGCTTAACAGCACTGATTTGTAGGCCGATATCAATTGCCGATTTCGATTGCCCAAAGGTTAGCGGGTTTTTAAATTTAAAAAATGTCTATATTATCAGGGATTTCTTACGTTTCAACACGCATTGTGGAGTGCCCCCGCCTCACCTTAAAAAAAAGTTGGCTTAACGGACTTTTTGCCTTGACAGCATCATCTCAATTTCCCTCGGGTTGTAATGGCAGAACACCTGTCTCTGTGCACCTGTCGCTCCTTTGCAACTGGCTTCCTGAAAGCCTTGAAAGCTGCGTTTGGGCTTTCACTTTGGCTGAAAGCTGGAAGCGTAAAGCTGCCAGCTGTCCGTGTCTGCAGCAGGATGCCCAAGCTGCGCTTGTAGTCTGTGCTGGGCAGCGCATGGCAACAGGTCGTGGTGCACACATTGCCCGGAGCACCATCGTTTGAATCCTTAGTTCGGAAAACGCGTACTTTCGTACCTGGCAGCCAAATCGGGAATCGCAGGAAAAAAGCAACCCAGCTACGGATAACTCCCGGGCTATCCTCTGGGGCTAGCGAACAACAACAAACAGGCAACAACAGCAAGCAAAAAGCGTGGCGAGTGGCACCATCAGCATCCTTGAAAGCGCCAAATCGAAGCACGTCGCCTTGGGCGCCAAAGTCAAAGGCTATCGAAGGAGATTGGGAACGCTTTGGGCGTTGGGACGGAAATGCGTGCGGACGCGCTTCTTTTTAATTAACCGGATCCGGGTGAGCTGAGGTGAGCGAGGTGAGAGGACAGGTGAGCTTGGTCTATTTTTAAATCGCAGCTATGCCTGCACACAGTTGCAGTGAAAGCCACAACACACACGGACAGCTAATTACGGTGGCACTTCTAGATTTAATTGGTGGGTTGGCGGCAGTGGTCGTCCAGAATCCGAGAATTGCAGCAGCCACAGGAGACCTTGAAGGGCCTGGCATTTGTTTGCGTTCCTAATTGCCAGCATCCCTTGGGATGCTATTTCCGTCGAACGGCTGCTGCTGCCTCTGCTGCCTGCCTACCACCTGAGCCCGGAAACGACAATAAGATCTTGCGAATCAATAAAGGTTTAAAATTAACCGTCACTTAGTCCGGTCTCAGGCCCAGCGAGCTGCCAGAGCGGGATGGGTATATGGCATTAGCTGCTGTGCGTGCATGCTAATTCGATTTCCCGTTTCCCCTTCCCATCCGCCATTTTACCGTGTCCCGTTTACCTTGGTACTGGCAACAGATAACTGTAAATTGTGCGTGCTCTTTTAGCGCCAGGCGGAAGTGGCGGGACAGATGGCCGGTGACAGCGGGAGGAAATTACATTACAAGACATCATCCGGCAGCGACAGCAAAGGATTCAATGCAACATAAGGGACAGAGAGTGACAAGCAGTGTGGGGCGTGTGCCCCAGCCCCTGCCTGATTGATTGTGTTGTCTAGCAACCACTTGATGGCGCTCCTCCAACACCCCCACCCCGCTCCCACTTAGCACCCAACCGCAGACGGGAGGTCTGTAATCCGCTTAGTACGCGGGAGAGGCCAGCTTATAGAGAGAAGCTCTCTCCCTCTCCCACTCCAGCCTCTCACGGCACGCCACTCTTTTGAACATTGGCCGTTTTGTCTAATTAAAGGAGAAGAGGGAGGGGAGAGGGAGAGGGAGAGAGGGCTAGGTCTGCATTCCTGGGCTGCTCTTTGAGCTGGCTTTTGTTGTTGTGGTTATCCTCTCCTTCCCTCTTTTGTTTTGGCTCGCATGCAAAGTCTTGGAATACCACCGTTACAGCTTCCAGCTCCCCTTCGGGCATGACCGAACTCCCGATCGGTTGGGCCGAGCGGACAAGGGAGAGGATCCCAGGTCGGTCGTGCTTATCTAAGGTTTCTTTTATGTTTGATGTTGTGGCGCAACCATCAAAAAGGTACTCCTCCTCCTGCTGTACTCAGTGCCCTCCCTCCCTTATCGAGCCCATTCAACAAAACCGAAATTTCGCCAAGAACGAGACAGAAAATCAATAAATCGGGATTTAATGAGTTTCAAATATTTGCCACGGTGCGGGTAGCGCTCTCTGTATGTGTGTGTGTGAGTGGGGTGGCATTATTGGGGATGGATGTGGAAGGGGGCTGGGGATATATGCTTATGAAGATGCCTCTCGACTTGAATACCCTCCGCCTCCGCCTCCTCCTTCCTTTCCCTTGTCAGCCAAAGCCTGGGCTTAAAGAGGGACGGGCGGAAACAGGAATCCAGCGATTTGGGGAAAGCTCGGTCAGAGGCAGCAGCTCATTTGATTCCCTGCTTCCAGGCGGACGGGATGCCCTGAACGAGCCTAAGCGGAGGAGATCCGAGCAGCAGCAGCATGATGACGGGCGCCAACATCGACTACGACTATCTGCTCAAGTTCCTGGTGCTAGGCGACTCCGGTGTGGGCAAGACCTGTCTGCTCTACCAGTATACCGATGGCCGCTTTCACTCCCAGTTTATCTCCACTGTGGGCATCGATTTCCGCGAGAAGCGGCTGGTGAGTACTCCAGATCCATGATTCATGGATTCTCTATCAAATCTGGTAGAAGTCTGATTCTGTGTGACTTTGTTATAACCCATTTTCTAACATTTAAACTAATTAGACACTCTAAAGCCAGATTTTATAGGCATTCGAATTCCTAGCCTTAGCTTTTCTCTGCTTTTTGCAGGTGTACAACTCTCGAGGACGTCGCCACCGCATCCATCTGCAGATCTGGGACACCGCCGGCCAGGAGCGCTTTCGCTCGCTTACCACAGCCTTCTATCGCGATGCCATGGGCTTCCTGCTCATCTTCGATCTGACCAGCGAGAAGAGCTTCCTGGAGACAGCCAACTGGCTGTCACAGCTCCGGACGCACGCCTACTCCGAGGACGCGGACGTGGTGCTCTGCGGCAACAAGTGCGACCTGCTGGAGCTGCGCGTCGTGAGCCGCGACCAGGTGGCGGCCCTGGCCCAACGCTACCGTCTGCCCTATATCGAGACCAGCGCCTGCACCGGCGCCAATGTCCAGGAGGCCGTTGAGCTGCTCGTGGGCCGTGTTATGGAGCGGATCGAGAATGCTGCCTGCAATCGGGAGCTCTCCCTGCTGCTCACCCAATCGCGCTGCCTGCCGAGCATTGCCTACGGGCCGCCGGAGCTGTTGCGTCTGCACGAGCGGTCGGATCAGCAGCCTTCGGCTTCGCAGCGGCGGAACTGCCGCAATTGCTAGTCCAAATCTTTTTCTAGTTCAATACACACATTCCTCCACACCCCAGCATGCCCAGCCGAGTTGTTTCTCGTCTATTGTTTTCCGGATCTCTACATGTGTTTCGCTGTAAATAAATGTTGATTGTTGAATGGATTTGATGATGTGCTTTTATTCGCCAGAAGAAGCTCGACCTGATAAGGTGGAGTCGCGATAATTATCCGATCATTGTGAAACTCTGTTAGATAATGGCTACAAGGCAACGATTGCATCGTCGAAGGGAAACTTATTAGCTTGGGACTGGAAAGAATCGGTAGAATTCTTAGTTGATAAGGCACAAAAGAAATCCCTCTGGGTCGTGATGAAGCTATACAAGGTGGTCTCAGTATTTTATCTGGAAAGAGATGGCCACAGCTAAATCATTCTCCAAAGAGAGCAGATGAGACCATCTTAAGAGTATAGTTGAATGACGGACTGACCTTACAGGTATGCAACTGCAACACATTAGGTTTCGATGTTGTTCCAGCTTTACTTCCGGGTCACAAGCATCTACACATCATAATCATGGCAATGACTAAAGCAGAAGGCATTCTCCTCAAGTAGCTGCTGGCACTACTGCTACGCTCCTCGATCCACTGACGATAGTACTGCACATCCACATAGACGCCTGGCAGACCAGGCTCGGCGCAACCATAGCCCCAGGATACCACGCCCACCACACGCCCCTCGTGCACCAGCGGACCACCGGAATCACCTTGGCACGAATCAGTTCCGCCCTGCAATCGTCCGGCACACATCATTCCAGGCAGCAGGCCAGTCTTGTAGATCATCCGGCAAGTCTGGTGGCGAATGGTGCTCACGTTGGCAGTTAGCAGGATGTTGGACAGTGAGCTCTTCAAAAGAAGAACGGATCAATCAATATATATGGATTACTAGTTAATTCCGAAACCCACTCTTTCCGTGCGCCCCCAGCCGGCCACCTGGCACACTCTTCCCGGCGGCGTCACCTGACCTGCCAGCTGGATGGGTGCTACGCTGAGATGGCCACCGCCATCGGGTAGGCCAGTCCTTAGGAAGAGTATGCCCACATCGTCGCGCATACTGTCCGGACTGAAGGTGTGCATGTAGGCCATGGAGCTAACCGGCGAGACGATGGTGCCGTTGTGCCGCTCAAAACGATTCAGGGTGCCCAGGACCACAACGAACTCGCTGGGCTGGCGGTAGCGCTTCCTCTGGTTGCTACGGATCAGTCAGACGGATTAGAATAGAGGAAGGAGAAGAAGTATAAGCATTACTCACTTGTACAGACAGTGGGCGGCGGTGAGCACCTTGTTGGGCGCTATGAGGGCTCCTCCGCAGATGTGGCCACTGCCAAAGTTGTTATCGTGCCGTTTCAATCGTATGGAGACCAGGTGTTTTGTCTCATCCGCTCGGGCTATACTCCCATTGATGATGCGCGGCTTCTGCTCCAAATCCTGCGCTTCACAGGCGACCACCAGCAGCAGCAGCCAAAGCAAACAAAGGGCATAATCATCACCGCGGCGAGTCATCACGATTTGAGCATCCGAGTTCCTTCAGTTTGTGACTCTCACTGAAGTTGGAGTTGGGGCTGATGAAAAGCCGGGAGCCAAGACTAACAATTGGCAATCAGCGTCGCAGCTATCAGTTCCCGATAAGGGCAAACACAACACATATTAGGCCAAGATGACGCCTCATCAATGGAGAACAAGGTGGCGGAGGTGTCATCTTGTCTTTGCACTGGGAGAAGCGCTATTGGGAGTAGATTGTAGAGGTTCTGGACCTGCTTCCTAACTTTTTAGAATTAAACTAACAACGTAGCAAACTTACATTTTCGACCGCAAAGCGCAGTTCAGTTTAATATTTATCATATATCGTAATTGTGTACAAATTTGATATCAAAGATTGCAATTGTGTTTGTATTATGTTTGATTTTTGTTATTCTTTTGAGCCTAGGTAAAACATAAAACCTTGAGTTTCGAAATATATAAAAGAATGATTGGGTGAATCCAGGAAAAGCCCAGGATTTATCTTAATAATATGATATTTTCGTGTATAAATCTGATATAATTTGTCTTAATTTAAAATAGATTCGTTCAGTTTCAGTATCGAAATATAAAAAGAAAGGTAAAGCCATACCTTGGACGGATCGGTTGTGAGCTCTTTTCGCTACATACACGCACGTAGTTTCTTCAAGTGTAAATGGAAATATTGTATGTAATATTGATGGTAAGCGACTGGTAGAAAAGGCACTTTATGGGCGGAGATTGCTTTTTGGGGCAGACTTAGGCTACGTATGGAATGCCGTGAAGCAGCTAGCGACGGCTGCCAGTTCCTATATGTAGCCCTGCAGGCTGCGCGACTGGCTGTGGTGATGACGCGGCGGCTGATAGCCCGGCTCCTGCATTTCCATTTGCATGACCAGGTTCTTTTGCTCGCCGCGCGCCTCAAAGGCCTGACGGGCCTCACGCTGCAGAATCAAGGCGGCCAGGCCGAGCAGCATGAAGGTCACGACGGCGAGGGCATAGGACCAGCCTAGGACATTGAACTTGGGATACATGAGCCAGTCACGACGATAGGCACAGCCGCCAAAGATGCACACGGCCAAAAACATGAACAGAGCTGAAAGTAAAGATTAATTAGCTAATTAGCCAAGGTAGGCGTGGCTGGTGGCTGGTGGCTGATGGCGGGTGGCATTCTACGTACAGGAGACTGCTGTTCCGATGTAGGAGAGGCGAACGAGCAGCCACTCGTACTGCAGCACGGGCTTTAGCGGCAGACGGATGATGGTCAGCGAGAGCAGCGACAGCACAAGGAACACAATGATGAACGACATGGTGACAAAGCCCTGGACGGCCATAAGCCAGCCGGGCAGTAGGTACTCACGGATGACATAGTAGTCCTGCAAAACAAAGAGGATGTAACTACCTGTTGAGAGGGAGGCAAACAAATCCTTATGCTCACGTGCGAGAAGACATTGTGGCAGCCGGTGAATTGCTTGGGGAACTGGTACTTGGGATAAACGAAATCCTTGAAGCAATACTGCCACAGCCCCATGTTCTTGAAGCTGCTGCGCGTCTCCTCGTAAGACTCGATCCAATAGGGCGAGCAGAACGACATCATCAGCACAAAGAAGCTGGCGAAGGTGACGATGGCACCGAAGACCACACCATCTGCAGGGAGGCGAGGTAATATTAGTTTCTGGGGCGGGGCGGGGCGTGCGTCACTTACTGGTGGCCCGCGGATAGTCGCCCTTCTCGACGCCCGCATCGGTGGTATCCTGCGACTGCTGCTTGTTCAGTTCGCGCATGATGGTGTGTGTGTGGTTTGGGGATAACTCGCGGCTGCTTGGTGGCTTAGAAAGTCTGATCGCGCAATTGGAGCAATGGAAAAAACACTTTTCTTAGGCGATTAGCGCAGCGTAAACAAATGCAGCCTCGCAACACACCCAATCTAGAGATGGAAGTGACATCGATTCTTCCATTCGATTACTCGATGTTTTTCAGTCTCTGCAAGATCGGTTCTAGTTGGGACGAGTTGGATTCCAATTGGATTTAGGTGCAGGTGAAGCGGGAAATAGTTTTTAAATAAATATTTATATATTTGAAGGAAGGGCTTAATTACTTAAAATATCGCGCATGAATTTAGCTGTATAGGAAAGACCGAAAAGGTCACCTGCTAAATCTTCAACTGCTTCCGATATATTTCGATAGTTATTTTGTCGTATAAGGAATCCCCTGATATTTTAACATGAATGGAAAAATATATATATCTTCTTATTAAGGTTAGAAACAAATATATTTAGATTTTGATAAAATACCTATCGATAGTCTTTTTAAATGTATGTATATCTGGAAATACTCGATTCTTTTTACCTATCACTTTATTGTCACCACCAGTGAGAACCAAAGACAAATGGCCGTTAGGTTTTTGAATTTGAATTTAAATTCCACTTTCTCTTTATAACTTCTTTAAATTTAACTAATCTTTTAGCCAGAAGGTCTGCAAACACACACATTAATAGTAAACTCAATTATATACTGCACTTATTCTCTTGTATTCTCTGTCCGATTAAAAAGCTATACACATGAAAACATACAAATGTGCATTTAGATAAACGTCACTCCATCTGTGGCAATATCTCCTTAAGAACGACTTCAAGGTGGCCTCACCTCCCACTCCGACCTGGCGAAGGATTAGCAGCCTCCTTGGATAGCAAAGTGATGTAATCACTGATCAGTGATCACTAGTACACATTAAACCCATTAAATGAGCAATTTATGCCGTGGTGGTATTCGCCGTCTTTGCGTTTAGTACATTCGCATTTAACTGCCATGAAAATAAAAGGAAAATCAGAATAATAATAAAAGGAATATAAGCTGCATAACGGAATAAGGATTCTGCCAGTTATAAAATCAATATATGTGTATATAAATTAAATTAAATTACCATTTGTAGCACTTTCGCTTTGAAAGTACTGGATCGATACTGCGAACGATAACTGCAGTGGAGTGGCTCTGCCTGGTAGACGGGAGTAACTGCATGTGTGTAGGTTCTTCACACGCGTCTTCTGTACCTCCCCCTGCCACCCCTAGCCCGAAGATATTCGTTCCATAGGCGTAGATCACGGACACGAACCACCTCCCGAGCCGCCGGTTTCTTCTCCTCAACCGGTTCGCGGTCCTCAGTCGGTTCCTGATCCTCCGACGAACCCGTGAAAAGGCGCACTACGAGTAATACGAAATACACAATTGTGAAAAAGATTAGTGACAAAAATTTATACATATTCACTGATATTTTAGATTAAAAAGATTGTGTACTAGACAAATTTTGGTATAAATTTTAGATCTCCTTTCAGTTCGAGCAAACGATATAGACTAACGAAACATGTATGTGGACTTCTATATATGCCATGAATTTAAGTCCAAGGCCTTCTTGATTTCAAATATGAATTTCAAATATAAACTTAAATGCGTTTCTATCGAACACTCGATAACAGAAGACCTCACTATATCGATTTCTTGGCTTTGAAAACACACCTTCTTTACGAATACTCGATTGCAGCACACCTTACCTATTCGATAATACCATCCATCGAATATATTGCGATTTACAGTTCTATAAAATTCTTAATTTAATGTAATTTAATAAATAAGGTACAATAATGCAGCTCTAAATGGCGTGATCCACCTCGTGATGCTCCAGATGCTTCATATAGGCCAGAAAGCAAGTCCAGCAGAGGCTGCAGGCGCTGATGAACGGCACCCGGTTGCGCTCGGGGATGAGGCTAAAGTTAATGGTGGCCACCAGCGGCCACACGCACAGAGCAACCTGTTTAGGTAAGAATATAATGGTTATAGGACCTGCGATCTAATCAAAACACATACCTTGTAGGTGGGCAGAAACTTCTTTCCCACTTCGGCCACCGCCTCCTCCACCGTCTTGGACTCCAGCAGGCTCATAATGAAGTAGAAGCAGGTCATGGCGCCTGGCGTATAGGACACCGTCTCCACCGCCGCCTTGATGATGCCCGTGCGCAGCGATGTCTGCGGCCACATGGCGCTCGAGACCTGCACAGGAAGACGTCAAACAAGTAGAATTGGCTGCATGGAAAACAGCACTTACCTTGACCCAGCCATAGAGCGTAGGCGCCACAAAAAGGCCGCCGTACATGCTGAAGCGCAGGACGCGCCACCAGTCGTAGGTGCCTGCAGTTAGAGAATGCTAGTAAGAACACATGAAACATGTTCGAAACCCTATCCACCACGACTTACCCCAGCTCCTTCCCTCGACCGTCTGCTGGATGAGGCTGCCCGTGGGCCATATCAGGCTATACGATATCATGCCGCGCATTATCGGGTAGCGGGTGACAAGCACCTTGAGCCTATGCAACATTATTGCAATCTCGACGCGCCTGCGGAATCACAATCACCGGAATTCGCATTTCATTAGCATGGCTAATAGGGGAAACAAACCATGGCATGGCCAGCCCAGCTCCAGCAGTGAAAATGCGGGTCTCAAACACCAGTGAACCCCAATAAATGCGCCTGCTCCGCTTGCCGTGCCGTCACACATAGAAAAGGCTGTCATGGGACAGAGTTCACAGCTCGCACGGCTCGTCCAGCTCCTGCTAGCCACTGCCTTCGCCTTGGCCTCTGCGGACCCTGGAAAGATCGTCAATGGCACCGCCGCCTCGCCCGGGGAATTTCCTTTCATTGTTTCCCTGCGCCGTGCCAAAAGTGGGCACCACTCCTGCGGTGCCACGCTGCTTAACTCCCACTGGGTGCTGACTGCCGGCCATTGTGTGCGTGGCTCCTCTCCGGAGCAGCTAAACCTTCAATATGGAAGTCAAATATTGGAACGGAATGCCACCCAGCTGCTCCGCGTGGCAGGAATCTTCGTCCATCCCGGTTACGAACCGGAAGACAAGTACGCCAACGACATCGCCCTGCTGCAGCTGGCCGATCGAGTGACATTTAGCCAACGTGTCCAGCCAGTACGACTTCCCGAGCCACGACAAACCACGCCCGGCAATATCAGTGTTATCCTAGCGGGATGGGGTTTGAATAAGGTAAGATCTTCATTCTCTTTCAAGGCCAATGGGAAGCAATAACAATCCTTTCTTTTCAGACGGGCGGCTCGGTGCAGGAGCAACTGCAAAAGGTCCAGCTGCAGGTGTTCAGCGACAAGGAGTGTAGTGAGCGGCATCAGGTTCAGCTCCATGACAGCCAGATCTGTGCGGGTTTGCCCGAGGGCGGCAAGGGTCAGTGCAGCGGTGATTCCGGTGGCCCCCTAATCCTCACCGATAACAACGGTGGCTCCACTCAGATTGGGATCGTTTCGTGGAGCAAAAAACCCTGCGCTCGGCCACCCTATCCTGGAGTCTTTACGGAGGTCTCTGCCTACGTCGACTGGATTGTAGAGACAGTGGGCAGCTCTTCGACACCATCGTCGCTTTGGATTGGCCACCTCATCGTGGGACGCTCACCGCCGCCTAAACTGGACAGCTTCTAGACGGGATTCTCTCGAGCCACAATAAAAAACTACCGATTCACGTAAGCTAACTCTATCTAATTCAAGGGGAACACAAGTCAGGGAATAACAGCGGGCTGCTCCTCCTCGCGACGCGTCTTCATGTAGGCCAGAAAGATGGTCCACATCAGGCTGCAAATGCTCACAAATACCACGCGATTGTGCTCCGGCACCAGCGAGAAGTTGATGGTCTGCAGGAAGGGCCATATGCACACGCCGACCTGGGTTAGTAATGGAGATTAATTATAGATGAGCGGAGGCTTAGGCGAAGAGTGAGGGTTCCAACCTACCTTATAGGTGGGCAAGGCCTTCTCCTTGGTCTCTTCCACCGCCTGGCTGAAGGTCTTTAGCTCCAGGAGACTCATGCCCATAAAGAAGCTGACGCAGGCAAAAGGTCCGTAGGATAGCTGCTCGGTTATGGCCTGCAAGGGAGTGTGTCCATGATCTCTGGCTGAGGCTGCTCCCACCCCTTTTAACTTACCTTGACTATGCCCGTGCGCAGGTTTGTGTGTGGCCACATGGCGCTGGTTAGTCTCACCCAGCCGTACAGCGAGGGCGCCACATACAGGGCTCCAAAGAGGCTAAAGCGCAGGGCACGCGCCCAGTCGTAGTCTCCTGCAAGGGAGTAGGAGGAGGAGGAGGATGCAATGATGGGAGGGGTGCAGGGAGCAGGCGATGAAGCTACTCACTTGGCTTGCGGCCCTCCAGCGTCTGCTGGATGATGCTGCCCGTTGGCCACATCACCGCGTATGTCAGGGCCCCCTTGGCCATGGGATGCAGCTTGGCGTGGCGCCTCCACTGGGAGGCCAGCGAAGCTTGCAGCAGCTTAACGGCCTGTGGCACCATGGTGTCCTTAGACTCTACCTAAATCTGGCGGCGGAGCAGCAGAAACATCTTGATCTCGACCAGGAACTACTACCCACAGCAACAGCAACAGCAACAACAACAACGACAACGAAAGAGGAGCAGGACAGGAGATGCCTGACTCAAGGTCGCTAACGGTATCCGCAAGAGTGAGCAGTGCAGCGTAGGCTGGCCATGGCCAAGGCCGTTATCCCCCCATTGTGGATACTTGCTGTGCTCTGTGGCTGTGACTGTGATGGATATTCGGACTCTCCGAGCGTTGCACGCAAACTAAATGAATGAATGAGTGCAATTTCTAAATTTGAACACAATTATTAAGCTCCTTTCGCATTGATCTTGAAAGTGAGTGCATTTCCTAGTGGGTTGCAACAACACTGCAGGCGCACGAACTCTCTCACTCACTTTCTCTCTCTCTCACGCAATGCGAAAAGAGCGAGATGGCTGCTGCGTGAGGCATCGGAAATGGTACTCGCAAGGACTTTATGTAACAGAGCGAGAGGGAGGGAGGGAGGCTGAACGAATGAATGGAAAATAACGGCACGTTTGGCTCTCAGCCCAAATCACTACACAAACAGAGAGTGTGTGTGATTACGTAGCTGGTAAACTAACGGATCATGTTAGAGCAATATAATTTAACGTAATTGTGTCGTTGTCACTGTCTGGCTTTGTTGTTGTTTTTGTTGCTAGGTGGCTGAATCTTACTTACTTAGAGTTTTTATTGTAGTGGGTGGGATAAATTTGGAGGGGGGAATTAGCCCTAGTCTAACTTATTGGAATTCTAGTTTGTACTGTTGTTACGCACGGCGTCCGCATCGCGTGCCTCCTCGTTCCGTTTCGGTTCCAAGTTCTCTGATTAACAAATACGAAAACAGCTTGAAATGTTTTGCTAAAGTCAGCTGTTCGAGATTAGCGGAAGCTTCTCACCCCGTCGTAATGGAGCTTTATCAGCTTTTACGGGAGCGGAAAGGGTGTTCTGCACTGAACAAAAATGTAGCAGATGAAGAGGTATCATTATTTCTAGTATATTTAACACATTAATTAATTCTTATAACGTTTTTCAGAGGAAACCAGCCGTTACAAACTGTAAAAGTTTTCAACCAGCACAGCTGGATAAGCGATAGTATTTTATTGGAATATCGATATGGATATCGATACATTGTAGTGTTGGTACATATTACACATCCCTAATCGGCGGAAAACAAAGATGCGACGACGGTGGTGGCCAGGCGACGTTGGACCCCGGGCGCTGTTCCTGCTACTCCACTTGCTCCTCCTGGTGCTTCCGCAGACCGCCGCCACCCACCGCAACGAAACCACCATCCGGAGCAGCAACAGCGACAGCGGTATTCGGCACAGTCTTAGGGCCTCCTGCCCACAGCGACATCTCGCTAAAATCTTGCCGCCACCGAACACCTGCCCACCGGAGGTTCTGCATCTAAGGGGCACCGTATACATCCTGTACGACGTCAACATATCCGAGGGCTTCAACCTGCGCCGCGATGTATACATCCGCATGGCGGTCTTCGTGCGTCGCCTGCGGCAGCGACGCAAGCGCTTCCGGAACGTGCGCCTGGTACTGCCACCATGGCCACGCCTCTACCACTGGCACTCGCAAGGCCTGCACCAGAGCGGTCTGCCTTGGAGGCACTTCTTCGACCTGGCCAGTTTGCGTCGCTACGCTCCCGTGCTGGATTACGACGAGTTCCTGGCAGAGCAACGCCTCTTTGGCGCACCAGGAGCACCGCTCGTGCATGTGGCGCATGCCTTTCGGCTGCAGCACTACGAGGTGATGCTGGAGCAGGGCATCTTCCGGGACAAGTTCGAGCGCGTGACGGACAAAGCGATGTGCAGTGAGGAATCACTGGCGGGCGGACCGCTGCTGCAGCAGTCGGAGCTGCAGGTGGAGCGCTTCCATTGCGTCCGCTTCCAGGGCAGCGCCGGCCTTCTGGAGCAGCTGCTGCGAGTGGCCATTGCCGAGGACACAGCGGGACCGGAGGACGTGGATGATATGCGAACTTACGCCCTGCTTAGCGCTGAGACCGTGCTACACGATCACTGGGGCGACGAGCATTTTGGAGAGCGCGTCGCTCCATGCGCTTCGCCCAGCGGCTCAGCCAGGTGGCCGACGACTTTCGCCAGCAGGCACTGGCCACCACGGACACCTCAGCGGGCGTGCAGCGGCCGGCCATGTGGGAGCTGGAGCGACCCAAGAGGAATGCACGCGGCGGAGATTACCTGTGCGCACATCTAAGGCGTGGCGACTTTGTGCGCTCGCGGGAGGCGACCACGCCCAGCCTGAAGTCAGCCGCCCAGCAAATGAAGCAACTGATGCGGGCCTTCAACGTGAGCACCGTGTTTGTGGCCAGCGATGCCACGCCCTACGAACTAATGGAGCTGAAGGAGCTGTTCTATCGGTTCCGCTTTGTCCACTTTACGCCGGAGTCGAATGGCCAGCGGCGCGAGCTGAAGGACGGCGGCGTGGCCGTGGTGGATCAGCTGGTGTGCTCATATGCCCGCTACTTTGTGGGCACCTACGAGAGCACCTTCACCTACCGGATCTATGAGGAGCGCGAGATCCTCGGCTTTAGCCAGGCTAGCACCTTCAATACCTTCTGCAAGGCTCTGGGCGGCAGCTGTTCCCGGAACGCCGTCTGGCCCATTGTCTGGGATGACTACAGCGACAGCGAAGAGGATCCTTACTGAATCCTACCCATTGTGTTCCAAATTGCCATGGCGAGAAGTGAAGCACTCGAATCCTAGCTTTAAGATCAGCAACAGAAATTCCGAACAACCTGCGATTATGTACCAAAAAAACTCACAAATCAATTCTGCATTTAGATAAGGAGAATTGGTAAATAAAACTAAATATATTTTGTAAACAAATTTTAGCGCGCTCACAGTAAATAATCGATATATCGATAGGCCGAAGAAACATTAGTGTGACCAACCACATGTAAAGACATTTCCCAGTCAAGTAAGAGCTGTTGAAAACGATTGTTTTTTTTGCAATCTCTTTTCGCACTCTCGCAAAAAAATTAAAAAGAATTCATAAATTGCGAAAAGTTAAGCGGCGGTGTGGTAATGAAGCAAACAACGCGAAAAACAACGAATTAGTCAATGAAGTGAACGCGAAACAACAACAACAACAACCGTGGGCCGCAGCTCTCCCACACACACCCCTGTCCGTGTTGAGTTGCGTGTGCGAGTGTGTGTGAGTTTGCGAAGTTCGGACTTGGATTGCCGTTGTCCCCCGCCTCCCTTTTGGAGCACACACACACACACACACGCACACACCTGGCGAATCACACCTGTGCGGAGACTCCCAGGATTGCTGGGCTGCCAGCAGAACATCTGCGTCGAAAAGCCGCCAGAGAGAACTCACAGCTGGGAAGCTGAAGCTGGCCTTCAGCGGAGCAGGATTTGTGTAGGATCCAAGAGACCAACCGTTGCTGAACGCCTGGATGCCCGGCTTCCACCTCAATGAGATGGGTGAAATGGTCCTGGACGCCATCGATGACATCGGCGTGGTCGATGTGTACGATCTGGCCTCGGACATTGGCAAGGAGTATGAGCGTATCATGGATCGCTTCGGGACGGATGCCGTCAGCGGGCTAATGCCGAAGATTATCAACACCCTGGAGCTCCTAGAGGCGCTGGCCACCAAGAATGAACGGGAGAACGCCACCATTCAGGAGCTGCGGGACAAGGTGACGCAGCTGGAGAGCGAGAAGCTGGAGAAGGCCGAGTTCCGGCGCAGGTTCGAAAAGGAACTGGAGCTTATCGAGGAGCAGTGGCGCAGTGAGACCAACGAATTGGTCGATCTGGTGTCGTCCCTGCAGGATGAGAACAAGCGGCTGGTCAAGCAAACGCAGGACTTGCAGTCGGCCTCCGCCCAAAGCTCTGGGCTGGGGGCCAGCCTCACCGAGAGCATCATTAGCATGACCAACCATGAGCTGCACAGTGCCCTATCCGACACCCAGGTGCTGCAGCGACTCAAGGAGCAGATCTACAAGCAGCGGGATGAGCTCAAGCAACGAGAGCGGGAGCTGCAGGACAAGTACAGCGAGCTGGAGCATGTAAGGAGCACTCTGCCAGCTCTTCCATTCAATACTAACATTATTAATTAATCTCTCTTTCCAGCTTAACATCCAAGCGGAACGTCTGAAAGGCTCTGAGCGAGACACTCGGCGGCGTCACAAGCTCATGCAGGCTCAGGTCAAGACGCTGTGCGAGGAGCGTGCCGATTTTCTTGCCCAGCTGCAGGACCAGAGCCGCGAGATCAACCAGCTGCGTAAGCGCCTGGGTTTGGCCGAGAAGGAGAACGAGGATCTGGTGGCCTCCTACGACGATGGTCAGAACGACCCAAATCGGCCGCGTTATACCACGCGAGAGCTCAAGGAGCTGATCAGCGAGCGGGACGAGCTGCTGACCACCATCGATGGGCTAAATGAGCAGCTGGCGGAGCTTAAGCCACCACCGCCGCCGCCCAAGGCCAAGCGCCAGCGCCATTTCTCCAGTTCCGATGACAGCGACGATGAGGACGATGGTCATGTGGCGGATAACGATGACGACGACGACGATGATGAAGAGGAGGCGACCGAAGCGGATGAGGTGGAGCCACCAGCCGCTGGAGAGACGTGAGTTTACATACAAACACTAAATGGTATAAAAAGGAATGGGGTTTATGGTTTTAAAAGGTATTAATTATGATCACTTGGCTATTTTTAAGCTCGAAAACAATGACTTCCATGATTAATGAGAAGCTATTAGGTCCGTGACTCATTGTTTTGTTTTTTTACCGTGCAGTGCTAACCATATTCAAATAGACGCCATGATGCAAGCACCCTTCAAACAGGTGATTCATCACTGGTTTGCCGTTTATTTTTCGTTTATTTATCAAGGTTAAATATTTAAATATATCATTATATGTTTGTGTGTTCCTATGTGCGATTATTAGGGTAAATTTATGGAAATAGTCATTCGGTAACCATTTATAATATTTATAGGATAAGGAGAAATGTATATTTATTCCTATGAACCCTTAATAATCGAAAAGGTGCCTTGTTAATATATTATATATATTTTAACATAGATTACTACTCCCTATGTATACATCCCTAATATATACCCGTTTTGCAGGCCGCCTGGACACGATGCACCCGTGCAGGGACCGCTGCCATACGAGCCGGACGATGCGCCGTGGAAGAAGAGCTCCGAGTCGGGTATACGGAAGTTGTAAGCCATTCATGAGTATTATATATCGTTACAAATAATTTCAAAATACCCATCACTTCTCGTAGCTTCCGCAAGCTGTTCTCGGACCCATCGGACGGCAACAATACATTCCCAAAACGTTCCTTGGCCACGCTCTCCAAGATGGCACTGTCGGCCACGCCGGGCTCCGTTTCCGCCACCGCCTCTGAGGCGGCGAAGTAAGCGCCACACCCATATAACCAACCATACGAGTTATTTGGCGTGCATTTCACACTTTTGTTTGTTTTGTTTTCTGTTTTTCCGTTTCCGTTCCATTCCGTTCCGTTCCGCACCCCCCTGCATCTTTATTTATTTATTTATTATTTACGATTTATGGTTTACGATTTATGATTTAGTTTAGGCCAGTGGCTTCTCCATTTAAGCCTGTCCCTGGCCATTTATTTGCTCCGCCTGAGCTGTACATACATAGTTTACACACTCGATTGCTGTGCCCTCATAATTCTAAGTTGTTATGCGATTTTATTTACGTAATACGCGTTTACGTTTTTGTTTTCTATTTACCCCTAACTGTACTTGAATCTTTTGTACTCTTGTATTTATTCTAACTTTAAATTAACGACTACCAACTAAGAGAGCCCACAAAATTTATACCATATATACACACGCCCATACATATGCATATGAGAAGTGTTCCAAAGAACAAGAAGATCGAAAGAATGTTTCGCAAAAGAGATTGCCGAGTGAGTTTTTAATGAATTTAGAGACGAGAGATAACTAACGAGTAACCAGTAATGTAATGAGTAAAGAAAAGACATCAAACCCTTTATAACTGTAGAATCAAATCGAAGAAGGACCCCAGAGTTTTTAGAGAGTGTAAGAAGAATGAGAAGGTTTTTGCTTCAATTATCCGTAGTCTAACTATCCCCCTCTGATCCCCTAAACCTGTATATCCTTGCTCTATCGCTATGCCCCACATCTGTTTTGGAATTGGAAGGTATTTTTAGCATTCTCATAGCAGTTGCCCCAAGCGGCCTTATATTACAAATTTATCAAAAGAAAAGAACTAAAAATATGCAAAACGTTTAGAAAATGGTAAACCCAAAAAAGACATAAAATATATATATATATATATGATTGATATATAATTATTAGCAAACGTTACAACCTTAGCGCATTGTTTGTTGAATTGAATTAAAAAGAAACTATCTCTAAACGAAACCAAACTAAACAAATTAGATTCCATTGAACGCATTAGAAGCGCCACAAAAAAATATACAAAATAAAGGGAAACCTCAGTATAATATGTCTGAATATCAGCGAATGTTTTAGCCAAGAGTTTTACCATAGACTTAGCCACGCCAACTAACTGACCAGCTGTCTCTCTCTTGAAATTGAATTGTTGTTACCGCCGCTTAGCAGATATATGTATCTATCTATGACTAAACCCTATCCTTACTTTCCTTGTTAACGAAAGCTGTATATCGCACACGGAGCTTGCCCAAGACAGCTCTCCTAGCAAGTATTAATATCCACGATAAGTAGGAGCTCTTGTCCCCCAGATCAGCTGTCACTGTGCTGAACCCTTTATTTATGTTGATATTGTTTTGATCTATGCGACAGTCGAGATATAACTAAATTGATTTACATTCCGTTTAGTATATTGGACCAATACAAACATTACAATTTCGATATGTAAAAGTATACCATATTTTGAATATGTTTATAATTTATTATTCCCTACGACTGTCAGTACTTCAAGCTTTGAATCCTGTTGACACAGGACAGCCGGATAGGGGTGCTCTTTGACTTCCGTAACATATCAGCTTTGTCGATTGCATCGATTTGTAATGTGCCAAAGACTAATTGTCAGTCCCGCTTAACCCGACCCAAACCCCAAACCCCGATCTGCAGGCCGTAATCTCCTTCTCCAACAATCAAATCTCGTTTCAATTACAAAACAAATTGTGGCAACTGAACTTTTATACATATTTGAATATGATATAATGATATGAGGATATGATGAGCGTTGAGATGGACTAACAAATGAGTATTAGGATCGTTCGAAATGAAGAGACCACGAGAGCTACACACAGGCACGAGCAGATGGTGTGGATAAGAAATCGATGGAGAGGAGAGACATTGAGTATTTGGTGAATTAATGTTAACTAAATTTATATACACATATACACATGCATTATACATAATATACTTTACTATATACACTATATGTAATACCGTATTATATGGAACTATGTGTGTGACTAACCAAAAATGAAAGGCAACAATTATACAAATTAAATGCGTACCAAGCGTTGAAGCAGCGACTACCTGGGGACCCGAAGCGAAGCGGCGTGGATCGGTCATCCCTCTTGGAGGAGTGCAACGGAACGGATACATCCACATCCACGCATCCTGGGGCCCCTGTGTGATCGCATGATCCCTCTGTACGTACATACAAAATTATGAGCGGCGGCTCCCCGTGGGCAACCATCAAAAATAAAAACTTATGAAGAATTGACATCGATTTTGAGTGTTTCCTTTCCTTTTAAATGGGCTCTCCAGTGCTGTGCTGTCGGTGAGTGATATTATTTTAATGAAATAACAAAGGAGTCTTGGTCCAGGACAAGGGCAAAGTGACCAAAGTGATAGGAGGAGAAGCCTAGTGAGTGATGTGATATTGTAGATGTTGCCAATTGCTTAAGGTCAAGGCTAAGGACCCGAAGAGTTACATATGACTTTCAGTTGTGACGCAAACTGCATGGACCGGGGATTCCCTCATTACCTTTTCAGTGTCCTTGTCGCGAAAGCTTTCCCCCATTGGAAAGCTTTTCGCTAGAACTTTCTGCCCCGGGTCTAGCGATGGCTAAGAACTTGCGCCGCCCACATCCTGCGCATCCGCGTCCGCATCGGAGGCTGCAGCATCTCGTCTCTAGTGTGTCCTGCTCCGTGTCCTGCCGCCGTGTTACTGGGCGCCTGTTAGCCACGCCGGGTTTGAGGCGTATCTAGGGCGTGGTGGTTGCTCGGCTCTCGTCACGACCTTGACGAAGTTTCCGCCGCCTCCTGCTCCTCCCGACCACCGGATCTGCGGCTGCGTTTTAATTGCCCAGCAACAGGCAGGCTGAGGGAGGCGCCTGCTCTCTATCCCTCTCTCTCTCTCTCTCTCTCGCTCTCCTGGGATGCGTTGGCCATTCTCGACGGGATTTCCACGCAGTTCCCAATTAAGCAATTAAAAATCATCCAGCCGCCGGACGGGGGGTGTGTGTGACCGGGAAGGGGGCGTTGTCAGCTTTTTAATTAAGAAGATGTTAGCGTAATAGGATAGAAGAAGATGCGCTGCGAAATCCGTAGGTCGAAATGTGCGCGCGGCTAATGAAGAAGTCGTCGTCGTCTGTGGTCAGTGGGAGCGGGCATGAGGGGGGGGCCGGGAGCGGTGGTGGGTTTCGTTTCCCACTAATTGGCTTGGGCGAAAGAAAGGGGAGAGCAGCAGCCGTTGTGGTGGGATTAATTAAAAAAAATGGAGCCTTTAATGAGTTTTTCTGCCAGGCCAGGCCCCTTCTCAGTCGCAGTCGCTGCTGCTGCCGACGACGCTGCACCGAAGTATCCGAAGCATCCGCCGGCTGGCCAGGACAGCGCCCGTCTCTTGCCATCGTGTTCGTCGCCGATAACTCGTGCGTCTATTTCAGGGGCCTTCAGTCAGTCGATTTTCGAACAGGCGACCAGTAACGGGAGTTGGGCTCGAACGGCAACAGATCCAACGCAGGGGCATACAACTCGACGCTCCCGCAAGTGAGCGAGTACAGTGTTCGCTGGAGAAGGGCAACTGGAAGTGGCGGATGGAGAGGGGAAGGTAACTGCAAATGGACCACGGCAACCAAACGCTTGAGAAGGTAAACAAGTCCCTCTTTGTTTAATTAAAAGTTATTATTAAGACCAGTAAATGAGTGTGTATATTTTAATTTATATTTCCAAAAACATTTAACCGTTTTCAAAACATCTTAATAAATCTGGAGTCATTTTAAATATTTATATATATATTTAATCGTATTTCCATCATCTCTCTTTTATTTCACCTAGACCAGTTAGGAAGTACCTACTGTAGTGGAGCTTTTAACAAACATGTGTGTGTGAGAGAGCAGTGAACTAGAGAGAGATGACAGTGGCTGCCAGTAGTCATCTCGCTCGCGCACAAATGCCAGCTGCTGCAGTAACAACGCATTCGCGACTATGTACGCCTGGTCAGCGGCCAGCGCCAGGTTGGAACAAGAAAACGAAAGTGTTAACGTTAACGTATTGCGCCCCAATTGCATCCGCATTTGTGTATTACTCCGCCCTCGCCTCGGTTACAAATCCTGACTACAATGGTGTCGTGAAAAGCAAGCTGCAGTTCTTAAAAAGTTATAAATTAAAACGTAGTAATGAAGTGTCGATATAACGGGACCAGCAGCAGTCGCAGTCCGCTGTCTCGATGTTGTCGCCGCAACATGTTGGTCGCCGCCGGCGCTGCCGCTGCCGCTGCTGGCGCTTCTGGTCACCTGCTCGGTTCGGGTGAATTCTACGAGTTTGCCTGCCGGTTGGAGCCGTTTTTTGCATTGCAACATCACCACTAGGGTTGTCGGCTCCTCCGAGATGTCGGCGGCGATGACACCTAATTCCCTGGCCAAATCCATCCATGAGAGGCGCGACTCGCAAGGAAAAGAAAATGGGTAAGTTGTAACTGTTAACTCTAACCGATTCAAACCAAGAGAAGATCCAAGGGACCACGCGGTGTTATAGGTCTTTTTTTTGCTGTTTATTAACCAGAAATATTCACTAAAGGCCATCGATCACCTGGTTGCAATCGATGCATCTTACGGACAACCCTAGTTGCAACATGGACGCCGCCGCCACGGAGCATATCGGCATGTCTTATTGGAATGAACATTCTAGGAACTTGCCCTAGACGGATGACCAGGCGACCAGCAGGCGGCAAAACGAGACCAAATCCCACACCGAACCTGTTGGGGCGTCAAAAGAGCGGAACACTCTATTCGTCTCTCTGCCGCCTTCCTGCTCGCACATTCTCACACTGCGACATGTTGGACAGCTGCAGCGGCTAGAGAGGGACAACCACAGCAGCTTAAGATAAATACAGAGTGAGTGAGTGTGTGTGTGGTGAGTGGTTGCTTGGTTTGCGCCTTGGGTAAGCTTTTCACCCAACATTAAGCTTAAACTTTTCTTTTAGAACTGAGTGCAGACGAAGTGGCGCGCAATTAAATCGAGTGAGTAAATGAATAAATGAATGGCAAGAAATGAAGGAGTTATTAAAACCGCAAAACCGTTCCGCCTTTCGGCCAGATTCTCTGGTTCGCCGGTTCTCTGGGTGCGTCCGTCATTTTTTGTACAATAAGTGCTCCAATTCGGACAGGCGAGCAGAACGTCCAACTGGAAACTGGAAACTGCGAGCGGCGGGAATGTGGAATGTGGAGCAAACAACGAGTTCTGGTTCGAGTAACTCTCTTTTTTTTCTGGCCGCGCTTTGTTATTCCCATTCTTAATACCAGCTACTACTACATGCGAGTAAACACACACATCTGGGCTTACAGCAACAACAACTTGTGGTAATTTTTGTTTTTTTCATTCATCTATTAATTGTCCTTTAGTCTTGGCTTAGTTCAAGCTACTAAGTAATTAAAGTGGAAATATGTAATTAAAAGAATCCGGGTATTTGTAGCATAAGAGTTTTGTTGTTAATATTTACTAATTTTCTATTTTTAAATCTGTTTCAGCTACATCTTCCTGTTCTGGTCAAAATACGTGAAAGCCCGGGACTTTACCTTTAAATTGTAAGTATTATATTTTACTACAATTAAAAATGGTATTCTGGGGTGTCCTTTAAAATTGTTTATTTGCATTCTTTGAATCGGTAACTATTTATTTTTTAAAATGACAAAGTGTTTTAATATTCAAAGTTTTAAATACCCGTAACTCAGCCAAAAAAGCATTAATTTTAATTCGGAAAGCAGTCCCCAAGATTAACAAATCTGCATACTCAATAAAAAATGTTAAAAATTTGACATTTTTATCAATCTTTCGAAATATTAACCCCTTATAAAATTATGAAAAATTGTAAAAAATTGAATTTTTGCGGGACATACCTAGATCGACGCGGATTTTTGTGCTGATCAAGAATATTTATAATCTATGGGGTCAGAAATGACTCCTTCGCGAGTTAGAAGCTTCTGACTAAAGGTCTAATACCATTTTTTGAGTCAATATTTAACAATAATTTTTAATGACAATTTTAATGACAAACCAAAACTTAAATAATTCATAACTCAGCCAAAAAAGCCCTAATTTTAATTCGGAAATCAGTCCTATGTTAGTTTTTAAAATATTAAATCTGCATACCCAATAAAAAATGTAAAAAATTTGACATTTTTATCAATCTTTTGAAATTTTAACGATGTAACCCCTTATAAAATTATGAAAAATTGTAAAAAATTAAATTTTTGCGGGACATACCTAGATCGACGCGGATTTTTGTGCTGATCAAGAATATATATGATCTATGGGGTCGGAAATGACTCCTTCGCGAGTTAGAAGCTTCTGACTAAAGGTCTAATACCATTTTTTGAGTCAATATTTAACAATAATTTTTAATGACATTTTAATGACAAACCAAAACTTAAATAATTCATAACTCAGCCAAAAAAGCCCTAATTTTAATTCGGAAAGCAGTCCTATGTTAGTTTTTAAAATATTAACAAATCTGCATACCCAATAAAAAATGTAAAAAATTTTACATTTTTATCAATTTTTCGAAATTTTAACGATGTAACCCCTTATAAAATTATGAAAAATAGTAAAAAATTAAATTTTTGCGGGACATACCTAGATCGACGCGGATTTTTGTGCTGATCAAGAATATATATGATCTATGGGGTCGGAAATGACTCCTTCGCGAGTTAGAAGCTTCTGACTAAAGGTCTAATACCATTTTTGAGTCAATATTTAACAATAATTTTTAATGACAATTTTAATGACAAACCAAAACTTAAATAATTCATAACTCAGCCAAAAAAGCCCTAATTTTAATTCGGAAAGCAGTCCTATGTTAGTTTTTAAAATATTAACAAATCTGCATACCCAATAAAAAATGTAAAAAATTTGACATTTTTATCAATCTTTTGAAATTTTAACGATGTAACCCCTTATAAAATTATGAAAAATTGTAAAAAATTAAATTTTTGCGGGACATACCTAGATCGACGCGGATTTTTGTGCTGATCAAGAATATATATGATCTATGGGGTCGGAAATGACTCCTTCGCGAGTTAGAAGCTTCTGACTAAAGGTCTAATACCATTTTTTGAGTCAATATTTAACAATAATTTTTAATGACAATTTTAATGACAAACCAAAACTTAAATAATTCATAACTCAGCCAAAAAAGCCCTAATTTTAATTCGGAAAGCAGTCCTATGTTAGTTTTTAAAATATTAACAAATCTGCATACCCAATAAAAAATGTAAAAAATTTTACATTTTTATCAATTTTTCGAAATTTTAACGATGTAACCCCTTATAAAATTATGAAAAATAGTAAAAAATTAAATTTTTGCGGGACATACCTAGATCGACGCGGATTTTTGTGCTGATCAAGAATATATATGATCTATGGGGTCGGAAATGACTCCTTCGCGAGTTAGAAGCTTCTGACTAAAGGTCTAATACCATTTTTTGAGTCAATATTTAACAATAATTTTTAATGACAATTTTAATGACAAACCAAAACTTAAATAATTCATAACTCAGCCAAAAAAGCCCTAATTTTAATTCGGAAAGCAGTCCTATGTTAGTTTTTAAAATATTAACAAATCTGCATACCCAATAAAAAATGTAAAAAATTTGACATTTTTATCAATCTTTTGAAATTTTAACGATGTAACCCCTTATAAAATTATGAAAAATTGTAAAAAATTAAATTTTTGCGGGACATACCTAGATCGACGCGGATTTTTGTGCTGATCAAGAATATATATGATCTATGGGGTCGGAAATGACTCCTTCGCGAGTTAGAAGCTTCTGACTAAAGGTCTAATACCATTTTTTGAGTCAATATTTAACAATAATTTTTAATGACAATTTTAATGACAAACCAAAACTTAAATAATTCATAACTCAGCCAAAAAAGCCCTAATTTTAATTCGGAAAGCAGTCCTATGTTAGTTTTTAAAATATTAACAAATCTACATACCCAATAAAAATGTTTAAAATTTTACATTTTTATCAATTTTTCGAAATTTTAACGATGTAACCCCTTATAAAATTATGAAAAATAGTAAAAAATTAAATTTTTGCGGGACATACCTAGATCGACGCGGATTTTTGTGCTGATCAAGAATATATATGATCTATGGGGTCGGAAATGACTCCTTCGCGAGTTAGAAGCTTCTGACTAAAGGTCTAATACCATTTTTTGAGTCAATATTTAACAATAATTTTTAATGACAATTTTTTAGACAAACCAAATCTTAAATAATTCATAACTCAGCCAAAAAAGCATTAATTTTAATTCGGAAAGCAGTCCTATGTTAGTTTTTACAAGATTAACAAATCTGCATACTCAATAAAAAATGTTAAAAATTTGACATTTTTATCAATCTTTCGAAATTTTAACGATGTAACCCCTTATAAAATTATGAAAAATTGTAAAAAATTAAATTGTTGCGGGACATACCTAGATCGACGCGGATTTTTGTGCTGATCAAGAATATATATGATCTATGTGGTCGGAAATGACTCCTTCGCGAGTTAGAAGCTTCTGACTGTTATTATAGTGCAAGGGTATAAAAATTGTATAATATATAATAAATAAACAAACTCTAATCTTACAGAATATGGACTCCATTTGAATGGCCGTTCCTCGACGAGGTTACCCGTCCAATTAACATGTCACTGGGACTGACTGAGGAGTGCCAACGCGAAGGCGGACGGAATGGGCTCCGAGGCGGAAGAGATGGACCCAGCGGCAAACCGAATCCCTGCCGACTGGTGTGGCGGACAAAGGGAATCCGGGTGCCAAGTGCCGGGGACAATGGTGAGTGTCAAGTGTTGATATTTAAGCTGCAGAGCAGCAACCAGCGCCTCGGGTAGCAAGCCCCTCGCACCTTGCACCTCACACCTCGAAACCCAAAACCCCATTGAAGTGCAGGGAAATAAAATTTGGTCAACTAGGAGATACGAAAGGAGGCAGTCCCGAGGCAGGAGGCAGGAGGGGAGAGGGGAGAGGGGAGAGGGAATGTTGCAATGAATATATGGCAACTGCAATGCAGCTGGCCCCTAGGCGGGGGCGAGAGATGCCGCCTCACAAACTAACAAAAGGCAACTCTGTGGCAGCTGCACTTGTGCCCACACTAAATTCAACTCAATTCGAGGAAATACCACCCCCAGCCAGGACATCCCCGTTGGCCGTACGTTTCAATGTTCCGTCCAGAAATGGCGACAAAAAAAAAAAAAGGATAGAGAAAGGCAAAAAGAAAAACCATGCCCTACCGGAAATGGCATTTAAGCGGATTTCGTTCCCCGAGTGCTTAGCTGGCTAAGAGGAAACAGGGACAGGGAACGGAGAACGGAGAACAGGTTATTTGGCACTCTGAATGGTCGAAAGTTTGAGTCAAGGAACGCCTGAATGATGTTTGAGGACTCCCGCAGGGCTAACGCTTTGAAAAGCCGAAAGCAAGCATATTGCAAGGGGACATTGGTAATCGCAGGATTTAAGTAAACGAAGATTTCACTTAAAACAGAAACTGACCTTCATTTAACCCAAAGCTTTTAAGGAACTATGGATATTATTATGGAAATAGATTTAATGCTGGGCTTAATTCTGTAAGTTTTCAAAGTTATTTAAGTTTCAATTGCTGCCTTATTTAGTTAATTCATTTAACTAACTGAGAGCCTTTTAAGAACGGTTTTAATCTCATTATTAATTTCTCATTCGATATAGTTAAGAGAAGGGACTTGGGAAAATTACTATATTATCATATTAACAAAATATAGTTTTCAATTCTATCAAATATATCATAGGATGTTATATATATAATTTCCAAATATTGGAAAATATTGCATTTAAAGTTAAAATATTGGTATTTTCAAAAACCAGACGGAAAGCTAGTTGTTTGGTTTATGGAATCGAATTGTAAATGGATAATAACTAAGCCAAAAATGCATTTATTTCAAATCGGAAAGGTTTTCTATGTTGGATTTATATTAAGTTAAAAAACCAGCATATTAAATATAAGCTTAAGGCTAGGGTATAGCCTATTCTATCTAACTATTTATCTATCTATCTATCTATCTATCTATCTATCTATATATCTATCTATCTACCTATTTATCTATCTATCTATCTATCTATCTATCTACCTATCTATCTATCTATCTACCTATCTATCTATCTATCGACCTATCTATATATCTATCTATCTATCTATCTATCTACCTATCTATCAATCGTTATAGTAAAATATCGTTTAATATATTGACTTTCGCGTGAATATCAATATATTCTGTTACCTATATCTTGGTGGAAACCATAAGATTTCTCCATTATGAGGTAATTGAGTTTTGATCCTTGTAGCTTTAGAACCCCAAAGAGTTCTACGGAACAATGGCAATGTCTTTCCATCTTGGCTGTCAAAAATGATGCATTTGAGTTCTCTTTTGATACCTGGAAAATCTGTCTATAATTTCATCATTTAATCTCATCCTTATTTGAGCAAATCAGAAACTGATGACTCCTCAAATTTGTTGCCCGCTGACAGGCGACAGCAACAATGACAACGACAACGACGACGACAAGGACAAGGACATTGACAAGGACATGGATGGGGAGTCTCTGCTTCCGTCACCTTCAACCGCCAGACAAGCATATTTTTTGGGGCCCCTTATGCTGATGACAATAGCTTCAATTCTCGGATAAGTTTTCCGCAGGAGAAAGCTTCCCAAGAGGGAGTTTCTAGTGACTGACCCGAACCATATGTCCGTCCGATGGTAGCAATTCCTTTCCAGATTTTTCCTTCCTATAGAGAGAGAGAGAGAGAGCTTTCCTTCTGGAGCTTTCTGTATGGGTTCGCCTGGGGTCGGGGGATCCCCTTTTCGAAGGAGTCATTCCACTGGCCAAGTGCCAGTAAAGCCAGCTGGCTTCCAGCGAGCTTTGCGAGCTGTTCCCTCCCCCAAAAACAAAAACAAATCATATGTTTGGGGGAAAGCTTATTTTCCCGGCGCATCGCGGACAACAGCTGTGGGAGGCGGAAAACACGCCCCGATGACGCCATGGATATAAAGGGGTTAAGGGGGATGGAAAAGCGATTAAGGCGAAATGATGGCTCTGACAGATGTCTAGACAAAGAGTTGGGTCTGGGACCTGGGACCTCACCCGGCTGACTGCCAGACTCCCTGACTCCCAGAAGTACGTCTCGCTGATGGATGAATGGATTAATTGAACCAAGTTGGTTGGAGCCATAAAGTTATGGAAAAAAGTTGACCGCTTCTCCTGCTGATGGCTGGAAAATCAAATTATTTCACATGCAACGTGGCCGGGGGGGATCCTGCCAAGCCCCAAAACCCCAAACCCCAAGTCTGAAATTCATTTGTCGCCGCTTTTCGCGTTTCACTGCAGTTTTTTTCCCCCAAAGAGCACTTGCCAGCTTGCTGGCGCGTTGCGAGGCTCTGCAAGAGAGTTAAAAAAAAATAAAATAAACAAATAGCACATAAATACAAGTGTAAATATAAATATAAATATAAATACTAATGCAGGTGTGAGCTGGCAGGTACACAGGTGCTGATGTCGATGAATGTGTGGCACCTGAGCACCGCACAAAAATGATGCAATATTTTGTATTTAAGAGAAATTATATGAGAGACACACACATTATTTGTTGTGGCAATCTCAAGAGAGATTCCTTCAGCTGAAGTATATCCCATAGAACCATCAATAACTCTCTTATTTTATTAATATAATTCTTGTTTTTTTTCTGTGTATTATAATATATGTAAAACCATATGTGCTGCCAGCTGAGTGCCTGGAAAAGTGTGTGTGTTTGTGTTTGCTTGTGCTCCTTGTACTTGTACTTTTCAATGGGCTCCCTCAGTCGCCCATAGTGCATGGCATTTAAAACATTTTCACCTGCCCACCACCCACCACCCACCACAATGCGGTCTTTGATTTTCCGCCCACGGAAAAGTACAAGCCAACCTGTTCCTGACAGCTGTCCTGGGACATTTTGCAAGCATGTATGTCAATTTCGAGACAAGGTTCAGCCATAAACTGAAAGTTGCACTAAACTGCAACATAATAGTCAACAAACTATGGGATTTAAGCCACACTAAGCTGCTGTTTTCAAACAGTTTAAAGTGACTCAGTCTTATCTCTTTTCACTTTATGATTTATTTATAGGTAAATGGAACGGGAATCATTATATTTTGCTGTACATAGAGGTCAGGAATTCACAGCTCATATGGAATTCCATTACCATTTTTCGGTGGCTGTTGGATTTAAAGCAACTGCATTGAGAGAATTCACTGTGGGGAACACCCTTAATTAACACACAAATACACACACGCAAGTGTGTTCCTTGGCTCTCGTCCTTTATTCCTTTTTATTATATTTTATTTTAAAGTTTGTTCTGTTTTTTTTGTATTTTTTGTTCTATTTTTTCGCGTTCTGCGTACCACCTACCACGTACAAGGGTACAACGGGGCGTAAAGTGGCCAACAAGCCGTTAAACATGGCCAGTTCAACCCCCTTTTCAGGGGGGGCGCCATTTCTTTACCCCTTTCCATGGTTGAATGTAGAACTCAAACTAAAGTTGGCTTTTACAGAGGGCGAGGCAACTCCTGCTTGATAGGATAAAAGGAGGTAAACTGCAGTAGTATTCGACCAAGGAATACCCGGTCACTGGCTCTCTCAAAAACCATTGCATACTTACTGGCAACGTGAAGGCAAAGAAATCGATGCTAGTTTCCCCACTGATCCTGAAACCAAAGTCTAACTAATCTGGTTCTTGAGATAAATAAGGATGCTGCATACCCTTGGACTCAGTCGAGTACCGATTGTAGGGAGGAAACAAAGCCAAGGCTTGCATATAGCAACAGAAACAATGTCCAGGAGAAGATGCTGCAGATATACACACATATTAGTGCCCTCCAGTCTGGAGGCTAGAGATAGAGGAAAGGCAGGAGTAAGAAAAGTTTTAGTCCCGAGGAAGGAAGAAGGCGCCTGTGCGTATGAACTGACAGACTTTAAAAGGTATTAACATATAATATTTAAGTCCCGAACTAAAGTTGGCTTTTACAGAGGGCGAGGCAACTCCTGCTTGATAGGATAAAAGGAGGTAAACTGCAGTAGTATTCGACCAAGGAATACCCGGTCACTGGCTCTCTCAAAAACCATTGCATACTTACTGGCAACGTGAAGGCAAAGAAATCGATGCTAGTTTCCCCACTGATCCTGAAACCAAAGTCTAACTAATCTGGTTCTTGAGATAAATAAGGATGCTGCATACCCTTGGACTCAGTCGAGTACCGATTGTAGGGAGGAAACAAAGCCAAGGCTTGCATATAGCAACAGAAACAATGTCCAGGAGAAGATGCTGCAGATATACACACATATTAGTGCCCTCCAGTCTGGAGGCTAGAGATAGAGGAAAGGCAGGAGTAAGAAAAGTTTTAGTCCCGAGGAAGGAAGAAGGCGCCTGTGCGTATGAACTGACAGACTTTAAAAGGTATTAACATATAATATTTAAGTCCCGAACTAAAGTTGGCTTTTACAGAGGGCGAGGCAACTCCTGCTTGATAGGATAAAAGGAGGTAAACTGCAGTAGTATTCGACCAAGGAATACCCGGTCACTGGCTCTCTCGAAAACCATTGCATACTTACTGGCAACGTGAAGGCAAAGAAATCGATGCTAGTTTCCCCACTGATCCTGAATCCAAAGTCTAACCAATCTGGTTCTTGAGATAAATATGGATGCTGCATACCCTTGGACTCAGTCGAGTACCGATTGTAGGGAGGAAACAAAGCCAAGGCTTGCATATAGCAACAGAAACAATGTCCAGGAGAAGATGCTGCAGATATACACACATATTAGTGCCCTCCAGTCTGGAGGCTAGAGATAGAGGAAAAGCAGGAGTAAGAAAAGTTTTAGTCCCGAGGAAGGAAGAAGGCGCCTGTGCGTATGAACTGACAGACTTTAAAAGGTATTAACATATAATATTTAAGAGCCTTTTTGCCAAAACACAAACACACAAATAATTCAAGTATACTTTGCTGGTTGAATTTTATTTAGACGTCTTTTTTCAAGCCTTTTAGTATGCCTTTTTTTCAAGATTCGACCAATTAAGAACATTTTAAACTGTGTAGAGGGATTAAGGGTAGTTTACTTATGAAATCAAGCCACTATAATAACTAAGCGACTGTCCTGCGACACAATCCAATTTAGTTTGCAAAAGCCTCTTTCGATTTTCGTTGTCCTTTGTCCTGTGTCCTTTGTTGTTTATTTTTCGGGGGCTTCTTTTTGGCAGTGCTATTTTGTGGGTTAAGTAATTCCCGATCTGCAATTATCCTGTTTCTCGTTTGGCAAGCTGGCAAAGGCCGAGTGGCCCTCGTCCTGTAATTTGCCCTCCTCATGCCGCAGTGCAATTGAATTTGAAATTAAAATTTCAATTTGAATCTCAATTTTCGCTTTCTATTTCGTTGGTAATTTGAATTTAATTTCGAAGGAGGCTCAAATCGATTAACCTGCAACGATCGATTGGCAGCTTCTCCTCCATCCATCAATCAATCAATCAATCAATCAATCAATCAATCAATCAGCCGTTTTCTAGCTCTCTTTCGGCTATTAAACTATTCTTTTTTTGTTCCCCTTTGGGGGGCGACCTTTTATGCAATTTCGCTGGGTGGCATTGGGCGGCGTCTTAATTAATGCACATTTGCCCATTGACATTTCATAATTGATGTGTCAGGGGATGGCCGAAGGTTGCATAAGAATGCAGCAGAAGAAAAAGGGTTAAAAGGGAAATCTAGTGAAGAAATTAAGAATGATATATTTTTGATCAACTTTTCCATCTTATTTTTACAAAGATGATCCATTTGATGGAAATGTGTCTCTAGAACTTTTGGAAACTCGTATAAATCTATAAATATTGTTATTATTAAAAGAACAGACAGTTTAGAGTTTATTTTCCTTTTTCTTTTCTTCGTTGTTTTCCCAAAATATGTAGTTGGGAATTACAAGGAACCTATCTTTCTTTATACCCTTACAGAGTATTTTAGTTTTGGTCAGAAGCTTAAAACGAAGTGAAGGAGTCATTTCCGACCCCATAGATCATATATATTCTTGATCAGCACAAAAATCCGCGTCGATCTAGGTATGTCCCGCAAAAAAAGTTAATTTTTTAAAATTTTTCATAATTTTTCAAGGGGTTACACCGTTAAAATTTCGAAAGATTGATAAAAATGTCAAATTTTTAACATTTTTTATTGAGTATGCAGATATGTTAATCTTGTAAAAACTAACATAGGACTGCTTTCCGAATTGAAATTAATGTTTTTTGGTTGAGTTATGATATATTTTCACTGCAAGGGTATACAAACTTTGGCTTCTTTTCTTGATTATGTTTTTCAATTGAAAACTTAAGCAAAACATTAATCCGTTGATTGTCCTGCAATCGGTGTGATTGGTTTACTTCGGTTTATGTCTCCGATCCGATCGAGATATATCCTGGCACTTGATTGTTGTTGGCCCGACGTTGCTCGTTCGTTAGCGTTTTATGGCTTATTTATTTATGGTTTGCCCAATAAACATTGAGGACACTCGGCAGACACGCACTCATATGCCAGCCAGCCGATATGACCCACTCTGCTATGTGTGTGTGTGTGTGTGCCGCACTGCATAAATCCTTTTGGGCCCTATTCCCTTGCTGGTCTTGGCCTCCACTTCATCCTCCTCCATCTCCTCCTTCTGTTGCTGGCCAAGCTCTAATGTGCGTCCTCGTTCCGGCTGCCAGACTGCCAGTCCAGTCCAGGCTGGCCCCCCAGTGGGGTGCCTCGTTTAATTGGCCAACTGACTGCCGGCCAAAAGTCGGACCGACCGACTGACTGACTGACTGGGGGACTGCGAATGGAGCAGAAGGACATGTTGGCCATTTGGCAACTGACAAATGCCGCACGAAAACGCCGACTTTATTGAATTTGCTCTTTTGGCCGGCAAACTGGAACTTGGTGCAGCAGCAGCAACTGCGACACAATGGCGGATGCGGCTCCTGCGGTTATCGTCCTGACCAAGAGCCAAGAAGAGTAACCGCCGTCGCCGCCCCCGTCATTTTCATTTCCATGTGAATGGGAATGGGAATGGGAATGGGCATGGCAATGGGCATTACTCGTGGGCGGAGCGGAAATCGAAATCAAGAGCCTGGTGGCGGTCACCAGATTGCTGCATCTTTAAGAAGACATCACTTGGAGAAATTTATACAAGCTTTAAGTGGGCTTAAATATATTTAAACTGTATAGAAATGGTTCGAGATTAAGGGAAAGTAAAGCTGATTTTATAATTTACATAAATCTAGATATGTAGTATGGGTATAAGTACAGCTAGGACTATATTCTCTTCTATATTCCTCAGTTTTAGTAGAATTTTCTGACCAGACACTATATACTATCCATATTTCCTAGCAAGAGTTATCACACTTATTACCCTAAAATATCTCGCAGTGCTGGCAAGACAACGCCGCTGCTGACATTTAGCTTCACTTGAACAGTTGCCACTGGCTAAGTGCTGCCTCGAAGCAGCAGCGGTGGCACCCCCTTCAGTATCCTTGTTTCCGCTGCTTTCGGACCCCCCGCAGCTCCTGCTCCTGCTCCTAGCTGGTACTTTCCCCTCTTTCCCCTCTTGCTTTTTCTATTTTCCCTATTTTTGGCCTAATAGATGTGTACAGCGATGTCGGCGGCGGCATTTCAATTTAACTTGCCACGTGTCAAAGCCGCTCGCAATCCAAAGTGACACTCAAAAAACCTGGGGGGGGGGCATGGGGCTTTCCTCCTTGCCCAGAAATATTTTAGAGTGAAAGGAAGGGGAACCCCAAAAAGGTACAAAATGTTATCCATAAGTGCAGGCTCTGTGTATGTGTGTGTGCCTTTTACTTTATGGTTGCTGTGGCTGCCGCATCGATTTACGCCAAAAACTTGCGCCACAATGAGCCCCTGCAGTGCTCCACCCAAGCCTGGCCAAGAGTGAGTGAGGAGCAAGGAGCAGAAGCAGGAGCAGGAGCAAGGAGCAGGAGCAAGGAGCAGGAGCAGGAGAAGCATAGCAACAACCCATGTACGTTAGGCTAACGCCCAGCAGGTGGCGCCTTAATAGTGTAACAGTAGCAGAAGCAGCAATAACAACAGCAGCCAGAACACCTTTTGCTTTTGGCCTTAATGCCAGCTGACGTGGCCCAGAAGGGGCAACTTAATTAAAGCGTTCTTTAAAGGCGATGATTTTGAATGATTAATCGATAAAAATGTATTTTAAAGGTTGTTAACTTGCAACTGTCATAAGTAGAGATTATAATCTAAGAGATATTTAATCATATTTTATTCATAACATTATCATTATTTTCTACTAGGAATTAATAACTATTTTCTTTCTATGGAATAATAAATTCAAGTGTGACATATTTAAAATATAGATTATTAAACAAGTTTTCATATGATATGCAATAAATAACCTCTATATTATTTGTTGATTTAAATAAACTGATTTAGGCAACAATTAAAACTATATATAATCGTATTCTAACTCTACTTCTTTTGCTCTCATTTCAGGTTTGATTACAAAAATCTAAAAGTAGGTTTGCAGCCAATCCCCCAGCTTGGCTTTTGATCCAGATTAATGAGCCCGATGAGCTCTTCTGCACCGACACCAGAAGGCCAGAAAACTGGTTTGTAACTTATCCAGCCCGAGTTGGCCATAAAGCGACTAGCTGGACTGCCTGTCCTGTCTCAACTTTAACCCCGGATATGCCGGGTAAGTAGTAAGTAGCCTTTAATGTTTAATGGTCCTGGCATTAAAGATTCATTCAACACGTCCGAGGCATGAGTATTTTGTGATCTCTTCGCCGGCTAAATAGTTTCTTGAGTTTCGCTTAGCTCTTTTATATCCTTTGCAGGATAATATAATTTTAGTTAGGAGCTTCCATTGCAGTATAAACCATATATATCCTTGATCAGCATCAACAGCTGAGTCAATCTAGACATGTTTGGTGGGAAATACATTTTGTTTAATTTTTTCAAAATTTTATAAGGGGTTACCTTGTTAAAATTATGAAAAATTTGATAAAGAATTGTATTTTTTCACTTTTAAAACTAAATATGCAGATTTGTTAACGTTTTTGTAACTAGCACATAAGTGCTTTACGAACTGAAATTAATTCATTTTTGGCTTAGTTATGATATTCCAAATACTTTGATTTAGCCAAAAAAATATCGATTTAATGAAACATCTTTAAAATTGTAAAAAATTCATCAAATTTTTAATTTTTTTAATACCAAAGATGGTATCCTAAAAAAAATCAATACAAAATAGCTTTTCAAAATGAAATTAATGAATTTTTGCAAGGGAAAACACACTTTGGCTTTCCGAAAATAGTTTTCCTTTTTGTTAGTACTATTTCTAGTTTGTAGTTGTTTGAGAAATTGAGAATAAGGCTGTGGGAAGTCTGGTTATATCCTTGGGACCTTTCTTTGCCTGTGCTAATCGTTAAATTTTAATAATGTAAATGTGTGTCCTAAATCCCGTACTCCGCCCCACCGCTTTACGGCGATGTGCGTGTGCTTTTCCCCAAAAACAAAACAAAAAAAAAGGACAACAAATATAAAAAACTGCCAACAGCTGGCTCTTTGACCTTGAAATTCGTAACTCGATATAACCGAAATGCCCCAAAAAAGAAAAGCACGCTCTCCGCTTTTGTTGTCCTTTGCTTAGGCTACGACGCCATTTCGGGCCGCAGGATTGGGGCATGAACAGGACGATGGCCGGGCGGGGAGCGGGATGAGGACAACAGCCATAAAACGCAATTGCTCCGAGTGCGTGAGAAGGGAGCCTGGGAGTCCTGGAGAAGTTGCCCCCGAAAGGAAATGAAATATTAATAACAATGAAAGCAACAAGAGCGGCAGAGGAAATCAAGATACCACGACGTCTCTCTGCCCCTTGGACTCGTCATAAAAATAACTGAAAGCGGATATCGACGGTGGTATAGGAACAACAATATGGGGGGTGGTGACTTCGACCTTGAGCACTTGGGTCTGCGGTCGTAAGTGGCTCCGTAAATAGCCGCCAGAGCTGCGGAGTGGAGTCCCGAGGCTAATTAGTGACTGGACATATATTTAAAGACAGAGTCATTCTCCAGAGGAGGACGAGGAGGAGGAACATGGGGAGAAACAATGGTTTTTAAGTGTCTTAATTGATGGTTTTTAGTGTCACTATTTTCTCATCATTAGAATAATGCTGTCCAAGTACACAATTTATTATTCATTTGCCATCAATTGGGTCGATCTTAGGACAGCTTGGATCAATGCCTCGGTTGTGGTTTTCCATATGAATAATGGTTTTTCCTTTCCTTGTTTTTGTTTGCTGATTTTATCCCATTTAATGTTTTAAGAAGCTTTTTCCATAGAGACTTCTTTAATAACTACTTAGCTCGAATCGATTATATCCATATTGTTTTGTATTACTTTAATATATTATTTCTATACATCATTTTATTTTATAAGAATTCTATTCAAATTGATCCCTTTAAATTAATGTAAAAATCTTCATAGCACCCACTTTAATATCGATAATTAACCTATCGATTATTTCGATAAGTGTTTCCATTTGATGCTTTTGCTGTTGGCTAACAGCAATGCCTGTTTTGAAGCACTTAGACAAGTGGGTCACAATATTGATTGCCAGAAAGTTAGTTGGCTGACTTCAGCTGCTACCCCTTTTACGACTTTTGGGGCCTCCCCTCACTTCAGGCCATATGCATGGAAGTTATGGCAAGGATTAAGGGTATTCCCCTCTTTGGTGCCAGAACTTCGAATGTCGCAATTTCTGAGCTTCAATCTGGGGAATTAGTGGCGACGCAGCTCCACCTCTTCGCCATCTCCTCCTCGTCGTTCTTCTCCTCCGGGGACGCTTGAGGCTGTCATCTTCTGCCGGCGTTCTTAATTAATGCGCCAAGGAGCAGAGCAGCCAAGGAGCAAAGGAGCAGAGCAGGCGATGAGCAGGAGCAGGAGAAGAAGCAGGAGCCATGGCAGGAAAATTGATAATGGTTTGGGTGGAGACTAAGAAGAAATGCTAAAGAAAATCAGGTGGCACTTTGAACTTCTCGTGAGCAACGGACAACGGACAACGGACAACGGACAGCGGACAACTGACAGCGAACAGCGACGCATGCCACTTGCAACTTCCGCTTCCGTTTCCGTAAGATGGCGGCGCGGCGCAAAGCCAAAGGCGCAGAGAGAAAGAGAAAAAAATCGATGCGAAAACGATCCGAAATTGCCGCAGACCACGGTTACGGTTACGGTTACGGTTCGGAGTCCGCCTGACATTTTTGCCGGAGCCCGGCTGTTGAAATTTATTAGGATTACACCGCAAACAGGCCTGAAAACAAGCAAGGACACGACAAACAGAAACCAACTGCCAAGAAAAAGAAATGAGACAAAGCGAAACGAACCGAGAAACGCAAAAACCTAACCGCAAAAAAAAAAAAAACAAAAATAAACAACAAATAAAAAGGGGTGAAATTAATCTAATACTCGACCATTAACCTTATACAAATAAATTGTTTGTGAAACTAAATAGAGTGAAAAGTTTAAATTTAAATGAACATTTGTAGAGTTTGTTTTATTTTCTAAACAAAAATCAAAATGTTTTCTAATTTCAAGTCTTTCTTTAATAGCTTAATAGCTCTAAAGGACCTGTTTTAGCTGTTGTTTTTCTAGAAAGTATTCCATTTTTCCTAAAGCTAATGAAAATCATTTTTGGAGCTCCCGGAAATACCTTTTTGATTTCCATTTTCCCAAACAAGCTGGCCACTTTTCTGGGGTTAAATGTGCTGGCGTTGCATTTCCAATTTCTTGGCCTACAGTCGCCCTTCTTTTTTCTTTGCTGCTTTGCTCCTTTCTCGTCCTTTGGCGCGGAGTCATTTCTTCTAATTAATATAACGCAATTTATTGTGCCACCGCCACCTTGCTGCCCACCTGGGCACCACCCAGCCAGGTGGCTCCTCCGCAGAATGCCAAGCGGAAATGAGCGATGTGCGAGGAGAACAGCCGCTTGAGTATCGTTGTAATTAAAAAGCTCCAGAAAATATTTAATACAATTATAATGAGCGTAATTAGAAGGGGGGGGGAGGATAGGGAGGAGAGGTTATATGCTATAAAGGGAATACTGTGCTATATAATATATACTATGTATATTATGCCATAAGTAACGTCACAAACATTTTGAATTTCGTTTTTCTCTCCCAAAATACTTATGGTAGTTCTTGCATTATATATATTTTTTTTTGGGGGGATTGTAAGTAAGGTGTGCACGCGATGCAGCTGCCTCCTGGCTTTAGGCTCACCTTTATTTTTCGCCTCGTATTTATTACATTTCAATATTTTTGGCATGCTTTCTCTCATGGCCCCCACTTTTCATACCTCTCGGGGGTTCGGTAGGTCTTGGCCTGTGTGTCGTGTCGCAATAAAACTTTTTAAAAGCAGTGACTGTAGACTAAGGGGAAGGGAAAGGAGGGAGCAGGAGCAGGATAACGTGGCAGGACACAGAGAAGAGGAGTATCATATCGTATATCGATTAAATATCCTGGGCTCTTAATGCCTAGCTACTCGAGATCAATTTGTGAGTTGTATTGCCTATACTTTATAGTTGAAGTAGAGTTAGAGATCCTTAAATGGGTTAAGTAGGATATTTTATATTATTTATAGTGATTTTTATAAGAACATTCTGAAGAAACAAGTTCGGGATGTTTAATGTTAAAAGAATTTTAACTTTTAAGGTATTTCTATATTTATACCCTTTCAAGGTATTTTCATTTTAGTCAGAAGCTTGTAAAGCTTCAAGGAGCCATTTCCGACCCCATAGATCATATATATTCTTGATCAGCACAAAAATCCGCGTCGATCTAGGTATGTCCCGCAAAAATTTAATTTTTTACAATTTTTCATAATTTTATAAGGGGTTAAAAATTAAAAATTGATAAAAATGCCAAATTTTTAACATTTTTTATTGAGTATGCAGATTTGTTAATCTTGTAAAAACAAACATAGGACTGCTTTCCGAATTAAAATTAATGCTTTTTTGGCTGAGTTATGAATTATTTAAGATTTGGTTTGTCTAAAAAATTGTCATTAAAAATTATTGATAAATATTGACTCAAAAAATGGTATTAGACCTTTAGTCAGAAGCTTCTAACTCGCGAAGGAGTCATTTCCGACCCCATAGATCATATATATTCTTGATCAGCACAAAAATCCGCGTCGATCTAGGTATGTTCCGCGAAAATTTAATTTTTTCCAATTTTTCATAATTTTATAAGGGGTTAAAAATTAAAAATTGATAAAAATGCCAAATTTTTAACATTTTTTATTGAGTATGCAGATTTGTTAATCTTGTAAAAACTAACATTGGACTGCTTTCCGAATTAAAATTAATGCTTTTTTTGGTTGAGTTGTGAATTATTTAAGATTTGGTTTGTCTATAAAATTGTAATTAAAAATTATTGATAAATATTAGCCCAAAAAATGGTATTAGAACTTTAGTCAGAAGCTTCTAACTCGCGAAGGAGTCATTTCCGACCCCATTGATCATATATATTCTTGATCAGCACAAAAATCCGCGTCGATCTAGGTATGTCCCGCAAAAATTTAATTTTTTCCAAATTTTCATAATTTTATAAGGGGTTAAAAATTTAAAATTGATAAAAATGTCAAATTTTTAACATTTTTAGTTGAGTATGCAAATTTGTTAATCTTGTAAAAACTAACA